ATGGGTGGTGCCATTAAAATCTTACCAGGCAGTATCTATGAGTTTATATAGTCCTGTTCATCCCCTTATCTTTGTGCTAGTATCCCATAATATTTCTAGCCATCTTATATACTTCAGACCCGCCACACAACAAAAGAAAGAAGAGAAAATGCCCTCTAGGCAAGAAGGAAATGAGTAAAATGCTTCTGTTTTCCTTGTCCATTCATTGAGTCGGATGCTCATCACATCTGACCTCATATATAACAGATGCCAAGAAAAACTTTTCATGTGCATCTTTTCTCTCCTTGCTTAGTTGGTTCCTTCCTGGTGTTCAAAACCTTGGGTTTCATGCAGGTTTAGAGTTCTTAAACCTTCAGTTTCTTTCTCCTTTCTTAAGACGCCAACTAACCCAGGTCCACTCTAGCTAACCACAGTCAGTGGCTGATTTTTGTTTTCATTTATGTTTTCACATCAGCACCATTGCTAATGCTATTAGCATATTTAAATGTTTTTGTATTTCATAATGAAGCCAATGAACAGACTTGGTGAGTAGAAAGTGAGTAGAAATCCTCTTTCCATGAAGTTGTTTGTATTTTGACCAACTTAAATAGTAAGTCAGGAAAAAAAATAAGACAAACAGACTTATACTGGGGAACTATTTTGACAGTGGAGAAACAATAGAAAGAAGTAGGCTCCAATATTTTCCTTCATATTCTGCCAAGCAACAGACAACTTGATATCATTTCATTGTCACTAGGACAAAACATGAAAACATCTGGAGAGGAAATTCCATCCTGTCTAGGGTTTCTCATCCTTACCCATGCTTGCTTTGTGATATTTTACAAGGGCCTTTCTTTTCCCCCCAGATTCATGTTCTTCATGTTTCTATGCTTTTTCCCATACTCTGTGTTTGACAACTAATCCATGTGAATGTATTTCCTTAGTGTTTACACATTAAGCCAATGGTTCACCCTCTCTGACATGGAGTAAAACAGATATTCTTATTCAATTGAATGATTTAAACTTCCTCTTCTTATTCTTCTCCCTCAAACTCAGCTTGAAAATCAGCACTTAACTGCCAATGTGTTGGAGATAAAAGAGAAAGAATGCCAGATGCCCCTTCACCATGCCTGCCTGGATTGCTTTCTACCAGCCCATTCTTTCACCAGGCAGAGGCTCCAGCCTACCACCACCAGATGATCTGGAGCTATCCTGCCTGCCTTCAACCCAGGGCACCTGGGCTTGTTTATGTAAACATTCTTTCCTAGTCCCTAACAGCCTTATATACAACCATGCCACAGGCTCCCTCAGGACAGACTTTCCTGAGCAAGCACTCCCTCCCAATCTGACAGTTAGTCCTCCACAGCCTTTCTGGTAGAACTACAACAGGGAAACTCTGACACTCCTGATTGCTCTGAGACACCTTCCCCAACCTGGGGTCAGAGATCTGCTGTGACAGATGGCATCACCTTAGCAATCCCTGCCTCCACTCATGAAATTATTCTTCCTTCCTTTCCCTCCATCATTTTGTTTTTTGTTTTTGTTTTTGTTTTGAAAGGACTGCACTTGTTTGCTATCTGTGTTTTGGAGCTGAACCTTTTGGTTGACTCTATGCCATCTGTCAGGGAAAGCTATTGAAGTCATCCTCATTAAGCCCACTTGGTGCTAAAATATTTACTGATATTCCCTTCTTGCACATAAATACAATTTATCATAACTCTAAAATAGTCTGCTTCTGATTTACTGATAATGCACTGTATCAGAAATATAAGTAGATCATCCTCATTTATTATGGTTAGTTTATAAAGAAAGTCCAAAATGTTTCAGCTATTGTAACTTCATTAACACTTGGGACAGGACACTTTTTCTAGAGTTCACACCACTGTGCCCTGGGGAGTAGTGTATGCACTGTCTTCCTCCCATGAGTGGTTCTGACTGCATAGCATTAATTGTTCTTTCTGTTCTATTGATGACTGTCACCTCTGACAAGCTCTTCTGTCACTATCAGAGTGAATGATGTCAACAACCTTAGCCCGTCTTACAGAAATTTGGCCTGAGGTTGTTTTGCAATACTTTTCCTGAGCCATCCCAGTCTTGAAATTCATAAACATTTTTTTCTTTTATATCTCAACAATTTGTCTTTCGTTTATGCAGCATATCAATAGTTCTCATATATATATTATATCATTGAAATATGTCTGTAATTTCATTTAGCAATCACCAATCAGTAGCTAATGCATGGCTAAAACTTTAATTTTTATCATGAAGATTCTCCAGTAACTGATAATGGAGACATTGTGGCTTCCACTGAAGGAAGGTACAACTTTGAGCAGAGAGAGACTTTCTGAAACTGTTAGCATCATAATCTCCTGATAGGATCAGTCAGAGGGAAAATGTCTATGCTATCTAGTTGCTAACACTGTCAAGACAAAACTTCAAAACTTTCATTTGCAAGGGAATACTTCTTTTCAGTTCTTTGAGGTGACAGTATTTACCAAGTGACTGGTTATAAAATTTGTTTTCTGGGAATAACCTAGCCAAACCCCTGGCCATGGATGGCCAGCCACTACCCTCAGGTATGGGTCCCTCTGATGTCCTACTGTGTTGGAAACAGGTTTTTTTGTTGTTGTTGTTTACATCTTTTAACAACTTTAAGGGAATTTTATCAGGACTTTCAACAACAACAATAACAACAACAACAACAACAAAAATATTTCCTTTTGGATCCTCACTTTTATATCCTATATATAATCTGTACACCATCAGAGGTGCTATAACTGAAACTAGTCCCAATTATCAGTTTATTGCACATGAATTTTTCATAAGGTATTTAAGTTAACATGATTTTACAAAAATAAATCTGTTTTCAATGTTTATTATTTTATCTATTGAAACCATCAAAATAATTCAAATTGCCAAGGTATTATATAGGTTTGATATCTCTAATCCAAATTTTCAAATTTTAAATGTTTCAAAATTGTAAACATTTTAAACATTGACATGACATTGTAAGTTTAAAATTCCACACCTGACTTTATGTGTAATTAAAAATAAAATCCCAGGGACTGGAGATGAATGACTCAGTGGTTAAGAGTACTGGCTGCTCTTGAAGAAGACCTGGATTCAATTCTCAGCACCCACACAGCACATGGCAGCTCACAATCTGATACCCTCTTCTGATGTGTAGACATATATCCAGACAAAGTACCCATACACATAAAATATATAAATTAAAAAGAAACTCAAGTGCACTGAAAATGTTTTATAAAATTACTTTCAGACTATACATATAAATTGTCTATTAAAATAAATTAATATCATATTTAGACTTGGGTTCCATCCCCCAAAAAAGATGTCATACGTATTTATGAATATCTCACAGTTGAAGCCTTATAAAGTTTGAACTGCTTCTACCCTGAAGAATTTGGATAAGGGATACTCAACTGTACTAGAAACCTTAGCTTTTAATAAAAATTATTGTTTTTATATTCATTATCATGCATGTCAAAGTTGATTTAGAAGAAGAGACAAAAATATTTGTAGCTTCTTCATCAGAGCTACGTAAGACCCTGAAGTATACTGGTCCTTCTGTGTTTTACACTTTCTTAATGTCCAGTTCAAAAGTCCTTACCATGTGGCTAGTTAGAAAATAACGGAATTTTTCTAATACCTTAAAAATATTTGAGTACAATCCTTATAATTGAATATGTAATGATTTTAGAACATATGTGACATGACTTTTATTTCTTTTTTGTTTGTTTGTTTGTTTTTGTTGTTGTTTTGTTTTTTGTTTTTGTTTTTTGAGACACGGTTTCTCTGGGTAGCCTTTACTGTCCTGGAACTCTCTGTAGACCAGGCTGGCCTCGAACTCACAGAGATCTGCCTGACTCTGCCTCCCGAGTGCCAGGATTAAAGGCGTGCACCACCACCACACCTAGCGTGATTTATCTTTTAAGTAAATTAGCTTTCTTCTGGATCATTTGAAAGCATAATAATCTTAGAGCGAGGTCAAATACACACTCACTCACCTGCTGTGTTTCATACTTTTATAATCGAAGCTTATTTTTAAAAAACAGTAGATAAGCTTATAAGTTCTGAGTCTCTATGTTTGTGCTTATTCATGTTTATATATACTTATCTGTAATGTTCTTTGAACTAAATATTCTTACTAATGTTTTATCTCATTTGCATGCATCATTCAGTTTGCATAATGCTCAATGATATGCCATGTAAAGACAGTCCCTGAGTTCCTTCTGTGATCTAAGCTGGTTTAGCTATAGCATGTGTCCTCTCACTATCTACCAGGTCGTCAACACCAAGTTGTGTGTTTCCCAACCACAAAAGAAGCACATGTGTGACTATCTCAGCAAGAAGCTTCTCGTAGCATTAGAAATAGAAAATACCCAGAGGTAAACAAGAAACACAACTTATTAGGAATTCAGAATGCTAAGTAAACTTGAAGTAGAGAAAAGCCAGTGTTTTAACATCCTTACAATGGTTTACAGGTATGTGACTGCTAGAATAGGTCATTTCATGACTCCTAAGTCCAAATACTCGTCCTCTTGTGTTAGTCACCTTGTTTTGGAAACACTGATTCATTAGAGAGAGTTCTAGACTGCGTTGTGAACCAGCCCTTGCCCTCCTGTCAGAGAGCACTCACTTCAAATCCACCATGCAGAAAGAGAGTTTGTAAGAGCTCAGTTGTCCTTCCCGTTTGTTTGGCAGCGACCCCTGTCGGCGGCACCTCTAAAGACAGAGTGGTATGCCTCCTGGCCAGCTGCTCTCACTCTTCCTAACCACTTCCCATGCCCTCAGGTAAATATAAAAGAATGACAAAAAAGACAGGATGGAGAAAACTGAAAAAAAAAAAAGGTCCTTTGTCGCTCTGACATCAGTTCTCTAAGTAATTAAAAGCCCTGTACTTGATTACTGTCCTATAGTTGGAAACTCTTGCTGCCACTTAAAGGGGTGATGTTTACAGAGAACTAGGTGCTAAAACAGGGTCCATGTGCTTTTCTCAGAGCCAGATAACCATCAATGGCAACTCTGGTGGTGCAGTGAGTCCAGTGAGTTACTATCAGAGGCCTTTTTCCCCTTCTGCGTACTCCCTTCCAGCCTCACTCAACTCCAGCCTTATCATGCAGCATGGCAGATCACTTGGTAAGTACTGCAATCATGGTTTTCATGGCAACTTTAGCACGGCCACTGTATATCACAAGAGAAAAATATAAGGTGATGAAGTTGAGGAGGAGTGGCCAACACCACTCTCTGGTGACTCTAAGATTGGAGGAATTAGAATACAAAGAAATTGAAACGAGGTCTCTTGCTATTCAGTGGTGACAATTCCATCTGTAGCTAAGCCTGGAGAATGGTAGTTGGTATTTAAGTGACAGGATAGAAAGAACAGGAAAATACCTATTGAGAGAAGGGGGAGCTTAGAAGACCCAGAAAACATTAATATAGTGCTTTTCTATTGAGCTGGCTTAATCCTTTGTGGAAGAACTCTCATTCTAGACTATTCCTCAGTTATAGTTTTAGAAAAATAGTTGAACAATTGAAATAGTGTAAGAGGGGATCAAACAGTCAAGTCCTGGATCATAACATCATAAACTATCAAGCTGAGGTTTGAAGGCCACAAGTCAGCATTGGGGCAGCAGGAAGCAAAGGAGAGCTCCCTTCAATGAAGATCCTACAGTTTATAAAGACAAGTTCTTAACCCATTGGAGATTAAAAAATTTAGCAAAGACATGGCCCACAACCTTCTGTGACTCCAGTTCCAAGGGATCTGACTCTCTCTTCTAACCTCTAAGGACACCAAACACACACAAAGTATGACTCTTTGTCCCATGGCTTGTCTTAGTAGACACAGTTTTCCCCATTCTACCAAATAAAAAAAAATATAAATACTCAAGTATAGACCAGCTTTGACTTTAGACCTAACCTGTAAATAGATTTTACATGGTTTTATATAAAAAATGAACATATAAATATTCATTTCAAAACTTCAAGCGTATAATTTTGTGGGTCTTATTAACTCTTTAGAGCCTCCTGGAAAAGTCCTGAGCTACATTAAGAAAGAAACATTCTTATGTCACAAAATATATTAGCATAGTTTAAAAATAACATAACTTTTCTTAGTTGCTAAAAATTCAATGGAAAAATTCCAAAATGTTCTTTGAAAAATCTTACCAAATTTAACCATTATGTGCCCATGATTGAGAACCTAAAACTTTCCAGAATAACAGAGCAGAAAGGATGCTAAGGAGAGCCTATGTACACAAACTTCTCAAAAGAGAGGGCCCATCTTACAGCCACTGCAGGTCAACAACAGAGAGACAACTCTAGAACACAGAACTGTACACCATTGTGTAGTTGGTAGCAGACGCCTTTCCCTCTTCCCACACTGATGCTAAACTGAACAAACATGATACCACAAGTTTACTAAAGAAGATTTTGTGTCAATGTCAAGCCCACTCATTGTAGAATTCAGCTTCCATAGCCAACAAAACTTCTATCAGGTTTTAAGTATAGTCATGGGACTCATTAAAGAGGAGTCTAGATATATTTGTGTCTTCTCTAATGCTACTCCTGGGAGCCATTTGCGAAGCTTGTAATGCTCTCCTTTTAGAGTGTAAGTAAGAAGAGCTTGCTTGTGCCAATTTTTTCTCTTTAACCACCAGTCCACAGCTCAGTTTTAAAAGAAGACTCTGCTATTTCAAGATTTTGAAATGTAATTATGCATTATTCGACATGAAAATGAAACTTTCTAAATTGTTTCAGCCCTAACATTTCACTAAATAATTATTAAATGTGACTCTTTACCCCATTGCCTATGGTAGTAATCAGTTTTCCTGATTACTAATATATATATACACACACACACACATATACATACATATACTCAAGTACAGACAGGCTTTTACTTTAGACCTAAGCAGTGAGTAGATTTTACACATAAACTGTTTAACATGGAAAGAAAGTTCCTGTATAAACATTGAACAAATTCCAACTGGCCAAGGCAATGATGGGAGTGGAATTTACAAGTCTACCCTACCCTAGGTGAACTTCCTAGATTTAGTCAAAGACAAAGGATTGCAAATATAACAGCCTGAGGGCCATATAAGAAGAATATTTTCCCTTTCATTGCACCATCTGTGTGTTTGTACACTCATATGAACTATACATGAAGACAAACTTGGTACTGTTTCTTAGGCTAGGACTGTACCACATCCTATGTATTCAGAAAACATTGGTTGTTGACAAAAAAAAAAATCCTAGCATTGTGGCTGTCTCATCAAGGCCTTTGAGGAATTGAATTAAAAAGTCAACCAGGGTGAACTATATTAAAAAATCAACACTGTGACTTCATTTAAAATAGCTTGGGAAAACAGGATTTGTATGGCTAACCATTGACACATGAAGCAGTTTCATTCCTAGACTCATCCATTCAATTCAAAAATGCCTTAAAATGCTTTTATGTCACAAACTAAATTGGAAATGGGCTTAATTTATAATAGTTATGATATAATGATATCGGCCTAGAAAGCATGTAACACTAAACACCTATATAAAAATGAGTTAAAGTTACAAAATGTTTATTTGTGATTATTTACATGGCTTCATGAAAAGTACATTTATATGTATGATATAATAGTTCATTATACTATCTATACAGGATATTGTATGTTATAAAGGTTCATTATCTACACAGGTTATAAATATTAATTGTAAAACACATATGTATGAAAATGTATTCCATACACACATATATGAATATAATCAGCAAATGCTACCATGAAACCTAAGAATTTTTCAGCTTCCACAGAAAAGAACTCAGAGACAGGCCAGCTAAAGCAGGCCACACAGAGTCTAAATGAAGGCTCAGTCAGTCCTGCTCACCAAGTTCTGAAATCTCAAAGCAGCAGGAAGTCACATCACTATTGTATGATGTGACCACCAATAATGTTGTTTGTTTTTTCAAACTGTATTTTTAACTCAGAATGAGCAGACTAGGTAGTGTGCATGCTCTCTATTACTCCTGACAGTGTTCTAGAGCTTCATAACATTAACATGAAGATGGAAAAGTTGATAAGCCTCGTGTAACTTTAGTCCTTAGGACACTTGTTGTTCTCAAAGGATAAAAAGCCATGGCATTGGTATTTTCCCATAAAACCAGCAATATTAAATAAAAATTCAATAAATTGTAATCATTGAAAAGCAGTTATTTATCCATTAGCCTTGCTAATGTATGTTTAGATTGAAAAAAAATTAACTGAATTTTATTTTTGATTTATTTTATGAAATCATATCTTTGGATCAATAATCCTATTGCCTCTCTAAATTTACTTGTCAGTACTTCTGCATATGGTAGTCAGCAGCTTCACAAGAATCGTATGTGACTAATGACATGAGTGAAGTTACTAGGCTTCTTTCAACTTCTGCCCCTCATCTACAGGGGTGACCCTTTCCCTCCAAGATTACTGCAAGGAAGGTGAGGTGAGACACATTCAGTGTCCCCCAACGTGGCTGCACATATCATTTGGCAAATTTTCTTCCTCTCACCCTTCTTTGTAAGATGGTGAGGTCCTTGTTGTTCCATACATACGTATACATAATATCCACTTCTGAATGGGGGCGGGGTCAAGTATGTGAAAAGGCATGGACATAGAAATGGGGTTCTATCATGATTGGCAATCAGTGTACAAAAGGTACAATTAAGCTATAGTCTGTATTTTCTGCACAGATTCTGCAGAGACGTATTCCCAGCATGCCCAGTCTCTGGATGGCACCATGGGAAGCTCCATCCCACTCTACAGATCCTCAGAAGAAGAGAAGAGAGTGACGGTTATCAAGGCACCGCATTACCCAGGGATCGGCCCTGTGGATGAGTCTGGCATCCCCACCGCCATTAGAACGGTAAGCCATGCCTGTCAGCATGCATGTCTTTCCCGGTCTGCACATGAGCCTGACAAAGGATGGATTGTGCAGGCGTGGTGCATTCCTAGGGTCTATCATGAGGACTGTCTAAGCCATCAGAGCTCCCATGAATACCATGCTGTGTGGCAGAGGGACAAAACTGTGGAGTGAAAACGATGACACAGTCTGTTTTTCCCTTTGAATTTGGAAATTGTGAAAATGTGGGTTTTCTTAAATGACACTTTTTTTTTCAACTTTCTATCAAAGAGTGGCAAAGCCTAGAGAGAAAAAGAGAAAGGGAGTGAAGGGAGTAAGTCCTTTCACAGCATCCAATTCCCACATGCACTGTAAAAGAAAAAGAAAAAAAAAAAAAAAAAGACAAGTGATGATTTGTTTCTTGAAATGGATGTGAGTTCACACCAGGGGATGGGAAGCTGTGAACTGGGACTTGGGAGGTGAGATGATTGGAGCAAAGGGAGGTAATATCATAGGAAGGAAAAACTGTCTGTGAAAAGGGGAAATGTTACATGTCCCTCTCAGCTGAGCCAGCTGAGAACTCCCTGGATAAGTCAAAGCGTTGAGGGCATTTCTTTTTTTTAAGTCTTTAAACTCTGCCAAAGTGTTACTCAGTGTGCAGGGGCAGCCCTTTCTGGCAAGGCTCCTCCGCAGAGCCAGAGCCTAGGCAGGCAGCTGAGTGCTGACCACATCCACTGCAAGAGGAGGTCTGTCGTGGCAGAGAAGGAAGACCCAGGGAGCCAGGATGAGCGCCATGGCATCTTTGCAGGTGAACTTGGTGGGGGTAAGAGGAGGAGGGAGCCGCTGAGGCATAGACATTGCCTGTGTGCCCACATAAAGGGCTGAGGTGCTGCCAAGAGTAGCTTTCCCTGAATGGAAACACAGGGAGCCAGGGACAGTAAGGGACCTAGGGAAAGAATGTGAAGGATATCGGGACAGACACAATGGTGAGAGGGGAAACATTTGAAAACTTTTAAAGAGTGAAGCATGAGTTTTTTGTTTTGTTTTTTTTTGTTTTTTTTTTTTTTTTGAGTTTGCAGTGATCATGTTTTATATACAGACGTGAGTTCAGAATTGATTTATTCTTGGCTTTGATACTGTAGCTGAAGCCAAAAAATAAAAGTATATCCATATAGCATGCACTTGGGATTTAGACTTCTCAGATTGTTAAGGATATTGAATGTGACTAATAAAGCTCGAAAAATCTGAGTTGGAATGATGATAGTCATATTTGAGTGACAGGAAAAAATCCCAGGGCTTGTTACTAATCTGCTCCGTTCGATGACAGTTGTATGTTTCTGGTGGCAGTGTTTTGACATTTTTTTTCCTCTCAGAATTTCTGACTCAAAATGACTAAATTTTAATTTTCCCATGATAATGAAGGGGCAGTGACTCAGACAGGAATGGTGTGTCATGGATTTTGCCTATTAGCCCTTGAGACACAGTATACACAAAAACTAAGAGATTATTGCTCTCTGTGCAGTTATAGATTCTGTCTGAAACATTCTATCTAAAACCTTAAGATATGTTTTTAAGTTAGTAAATGATAAGTAAAAATGGACACATCAATGTGATCTGTTCTTTTTCATCTATAGATTTTTAATCTGTAATGTTTGATTCTCAAATCTTTGTTAGGTTTTCAAGGGAAAAAATATAAAATGGAGGTGATAAGTAAAACCCAATTAATATTAAAAAGGTTTATATTTTCTGATGCCAAATATAAGCAACTACACCCATCCACTAATCATGTGTTGTTAATTTCCCTTATAGAAAACTGAAAGTGGATTATTAGTCACTGCAGAAGTTCCTTAAAAGGAACCCTGGCCTTTTCTTTGTAACTTGCTCAGACCTTTAAAACTTTACAAGGAGGATCCTGTTCATGTTTACTACTTTGCAACCTTACGAATCATACATCCAAGTATAGATCTGTATTTATAAACGTTGAATCTTGCCATCCCTAGGCCAAGAATATCCAAGGTTATTTTTCTTTCCTCATTCATGTAGAAAGTAATGATTATCAGACTCAAGTTGCCTCAGCTTCCTGCTCGGTATATACACTAAAATCAGCACTGAATCAGTGTGCCATGTTTGGGTATCCTCTTAGATAACTGTTCCCATGGTAACAGGATAGTGTTAAGTGGTCCAGAAACTTCTGAAGACAATAACTGAATACTCAATACTTTAGAGTCCTTGCAATGAAGGGTGACAGCTTTGCAGAGCACCCTTTCTCCTGTGACTGAGGATGCCTACATCAGTCTTTTACTGCCATCTTAAAAACAGTAACAAAAATCTCCAGGGCTCAGAGCCCATGAGACTGTGTAAGGAGGCTGGCTAGTTAAGTGGCATGCAAGATTTCTTTTTTCTGATCCAAATGTAACAATTGTTTGTATATTTTAGAGCTATCAGGGGCAAAATTAGAGTAAGATTGTGGTTGTGTTATATGTAGAAAATGTCTTTTTTTTTTTTTTTTAATGTCTGCGTGTTAAATTAGTGCACAGTGCTGATGTTTCATGACTACAAGAAGATGGAAGTTGAAGCCTGTTCTGATAAGGTCAGTGGATGACAGCTGCATAGCAGAGTCCCAGAAGTTAGTCTATGCAATAAATGCTTTTGAAGGACACATCCAAAAGCAAATTTCCCAAGTGTGAACTTCCACATTCCTAATCTCAGTGTGAGACATAACATGCTCCCAAATGGCATCGACAAGAGGAATGAAAAGTACTCCTTTTAGAAAGGGACACTGACTTTGTAAGTCCCTGCTTTAGCAGCTTCACAGTCTCTCTGCCAGCCGACTAGGCATTTCCTGGCTTCTCTGTACTCACCATATAAAGCTAGCAGATGGTATAACTGTGAGATCCTGCCTGATATAGACCCTCTGGCAAGTGCAGACAACAATGCTGTCCGTCAGGATGCATTGCCATATACAGTGATATAACTCCCTTATTCGGCCTCCCTGTCCCTGCCGGTTGTGTCTGGTACAGTGAGAAACTACTTTTATACACAGCTGAATGTTCCTTTTGTTGTTGCTGCTCTAATAGCATAAGAGTATAATAGAAAGGAAGTTTAATGAAAGATAAGCCTGCCTTCAGAAAAATAAGTGGTCCCCTAAAGATATGTTCAGGTTATTTCGTGTATATATGTTTCTGTGTATGCATGTATGTGGACACGTGCACATGTGTGTATGGGTGTGCACAGAGAGGGTAGAGGTTAAAACTGGATATAGTCCTCAATTTCTGTCCAAGCTTTCTCACCAAACCCAGAGATGATTTTGCCCCCTCAGACCTAGGATTACAGGATCCCCCTGCCATGTCCAGCTTTTTAAATGGGTGCTAGAAATAGGAACCCAGGTTGTCATACTTTCATGGCAGGTACCTCACTGACTTAAGTCCCAACCCACAGGTTCCAGCACTCTGTTTGAGCCAGCAAAGAGCAGATTCCTGCCTCTTTATAGATCACCCCCGACACCAGTTCCTATCATTTGGTCATATATTTAATCATGGTGCCATCAAGCCCCCATTGTAAAAGAAGCCTACAAGGCTCTCAATAGAAGAGATGTTTATTCACATCCCTTGTGACTGTCAGAATTGTCTATTTCCAGAAGTCAAAATAGATGTAAATACCGTGCAGCAAGTTTCTAGGTGAAAAATTCAATGACCACATATATAAAATTCAATATAAACACCAGTTTCCACTCTGACAAATCCTAACCAATGCTTTGGTTCTTAAAATTCTGCTCTCATATATTACATGCTGGGCCAATCGAAGTTTCCTTCCCCCCAACAGACGCCACCATTTCCCCCTCAGAAAAGAACAAGCCTGGGGACATCAGCCAAACACAGGTTACCTACCCAATACTTTAAATCAGGACAATGACCTTAGAAAATCTGATGCTCTTTAATTTACCTATGCACAGAAGGGCTAACTCCTGCCATAACTAGTGCTGATATAGTCAAGATGAAGATCTCACTGAGCAAATGGTTGTGCTACAGTTAGAAAAGAGAATTGAGTTTCACAGCCTGTGAGACAGAATTGCATCAGTAAACAGGGTTCGCTCAGTTCTTCACTCCACAGACATTGGAGTTTCCCTGCTGATTTTAGCTAATGACTATTGAAAACCCCTTAACATACATTGTGAGAGACCCTGGCTCAAGAAAATAAGGCAGAGAATCAAAGCAGAGGGTGTCCGACATCTGTCTCTAGCTTCTACATGCTCACATGGGCATGCACACCTGTACACACATGCCCCCCCCATACATCCAAAGAAAGAAGAGATGCATCACTTTCTCAGATTTCTAGTTCTAGAAAGCATTAATTAGTAACTAAAGGCTCCAGGATTTGAATGTTGTTTAATATTTGGACATTAATTTCCTATTTGTATTGTAACCCACTGCTTCTAACACACCTAAAGCCTGGCACGCATAAAGAATGCAAGGCAAAAGTTGTATGTACTCCAATGTCTTGTCATAGAAGCTTTGAAATCATAGATAGACTTATACATATATATGCAACATGACTTTGCATTGTCTGAAACATTTGGCATTTTAGTCACTTAGACTAGTAAATGCCGATTTTGTCTTCACTGAAGCTAATCAGAATATCTACCAATTGAGTCAAAAAAATATCCCCTAGTTAAAATTTTAAATGTTTTCACAAAGCACTCAGAAAATTTTAATACTAATGATAAGGGGAATGGATCTGTTAAATGCTTTCTGGGCAAGCATGAGGACCTGGGTTCCATGCATAACACCATAACAGCATAACACCAAAAGCCTGGCATTGAGGCAAGCACTTTAATCCCAAAACTGGAGGGTGAAGACAGCACGGTACCTGGGGCTGCCTACCCTCATTGGTAAAGCCCAGGTAAGAGAGAGATGCTCTGTCAAAAAAAAAAATAAATAACCACAGGATCACTTCTGAGGAACAACATCTCAGATTGACTACATACATACATACACACACACACACACACACACACACACACACACACACACACACACACGTGTAATAATCTGAGCCCATAGTATATCCATGTAAATCCAGCACACTGTAGACTAAGGTGGACAGGTTATGAGTTCAAGGCCAGTTCAGGACACATAGGGAAGCCCTGCTTCAGACATATACTAATAATTGAAAGGAGCTGAACTTTCATCAAATATTCACTATTTACTACTCTAAATTAAATGAATCAAACCATAACACATACTATTCCAATTCAATAAATATAAGATACTCAACAAACTGCGTAAGTAACAGTTTGCTGAAATTGCCATCAAGTCATAGAAGAAATGCAAATCTACTATTGGAAATATCAAATATTAGCAGGGGTGATAACTTAAGAGTGTGAGGTCTCGGTTTGGGGGTCTGGGACTGAGATGGAGTTATAAGAGTTATAACATCATAAGTAGTCATCAGCATTGTAGAGGTTCTATAAACAGGTCAGGTCCACAAGGTTGCAGGTTTCAGGGAGAAAAAGCAGCCCCATGCCACACAGCTGATGAGTAGCCTATAGCATGTTTGGAGTCAAGTTGTCTCAGGTACTCGATAGCAGGGGAAAGGGGAAAGATTCAAACCTTTGGCAATGTGGGTCCATCATTCAGAATGTGGCACCTATAGCCCCTGAATACTTAGAGTGTTAGGTAAACTACTTTGGGGACAGTGAGGATTATATACTCACAATCACAGTAGAATGACTGCCATTTATTTTACACCAGCTGTAAGTGTGTGGGGGAGAGAGAGAGAGGCTGAATCATGGCCTGAGCAGCCTTAAGCAAACGTAACAGATAGGATTGTTAATTCTTGGATGTTCTCTTTGACAGACAGTTGACAGGCCAAAGGACTGGTACAAGACAATGTTTAAGCAAATTCACATGGTACACAAGCCAGGTACGTATGTTCTTCTGTGTTTTATTTTGCTTTGTTTTTTGTTTTGTTTTGTTTCATCAACTGCTTATGGGTTGAAGGATATACACTCAACTTTTGTATACACTTCCTTCACTCACCCGAAAACATCAAGACACCAGCAAAGTTGATGGCCCCTTCTTTTCAGCATGTCTCCTATTCTGCCTTTACCCCTAAATCATAGATGTGTGCCTCTGCCTTAACCATAGCTATCAAGAAGCCTCCTAAGAGGTACCCCTGGAGCTTACCAGATGTTCTAGCCTCAGCCCTCTGCACATATCTGCCTACATCCACACTGGGGCATTGTGCACTTCCAGACCCGCTATTGTTCCTGTCTGTGCATGTCTGTTTCTTACCACAAGAGTATGTAGTGGTTTCTCTTGATCCTCACTCAGTACAGTTGACAAGAGACCTTAGAAGCACTTTCTGATACAGTGGACACAGAATCTGCCTAGGGAAATGGGGACAGGGAACCAGTTTTTCATGTCTGACCAGGTCAGAGAGATACATCGCATTATAGACAAGGCAGTCACTCTGCGGAGCCCCAGAGTACAATATTTGGAAATACTAAGTGCTTTTATGTGCTAGGAAAAATATACATTGCTTTTTTTGCTATTATGTTTCTGTCATTTCTCTGACCTTCTGCTGTCTTGGTGACAAGATGGCAGAATCTGGATTATCATGTTTATGTTTCATTTTCTAGATGAGGATACAGACATGTATAATACTCCTTACACATACAACGCAGGTAGGATGGCTTTCCTCGCTTGCAATGACTAGTCACACTCCACTGTGGGGAAGAGCCCCATCCTTTGTCATACCACAACCACGCCGTGTTGTCAGTTCCTGTGATGAGGAGGATGGCTTACTCCCTTTCTCAGAGCATGCCTAACAAAAGATTGGTCCTTTCTCCTGGAAATGGGAACTAATACTGTTCTGCATCAGCCACCCCCCCCCCCCCCCCCCCCATCCCCTGTTGTTTTATTCTCAGCTTCAGGAATGTTTAACCACAGCATGAAGGACAGGGAAAAAAGAACAGACTGTGACCTGGTTACACAACAAAATAAAGATCTTTTTTATCGGCAGAAAGGGTGATTATAATTGCATAAGACCTCTCAGATATTATTCCCCAAAACAAGTCAAGCAAAGCATTTTACGACCATGCCCAGGCTTTTGCTCCAAAATGGAACCATTCATTGAAAGATGTGAGAGACTCCCTCTTGGCTAGGCCACTTCTCTGACTCAGAGATGCCAACGCTCTCAATGGAATGACTTCAGCTCCGGGCATTCCACTTGTATTTGAGTGTGCTAGTTTCTTGTGGAGTGGTCTTCATGTTCCTGTGAGAGATCCCTAAAATATGTCCCCTTTTTTCAGTTTTCCCTAAATATCACATCAGGAGGTTCTATCCAAGCTAGCCATTATGCCCTCATTTAGAGTACTCTTATCACCCTCAAAGAAAACTTCTTGAGATTCTGTCCTCCCTAAAACCTAGTGACTAGCAACCAGTCCTTTAACCGGGTGATTTTGCCACTCAGCTCCAAAGATAATTGAGAAAGAAAGTGGTTTAAAAAAAAAATCAAGCTGTTGACCTCTGAGTTAGACTGTGTATCCCATGTTATTTCATACGCCCCTCCTATCCTGGTACACCAAACTCACCTCCTTGATTCACCCCACAAGTTCAAGGCTGACTGGAGTTCACCCAGAAGCACTTCAGAGCAGGTGTCGTCTAATGTTATTTCTCATGGAACCACACGCATGCAGACCCATAAGAGAAGCAGTCAAGCACAGATAGACTTAGATTGAGACTCTGAGAGTGAGAGACTCGGAATTTCTATAACTTTTAAATATTGAAATGGGTCTGTCTCACTGGTCATAAATAAGCTGAAGTTTAGTTATGTTGCCCTGTAAGTTTTATCCTTCAGTTAGCCAACAAAACACCTATAAACACCTCATATTTTCTAATAAGCCACGGCTTTGTGTTTTGCATGCTATTCCTGCCACCCTCTTCTATTCACCAAAACTAATGCTTCAAGCCCATCTCTAGTCCCATAAGATCCATAATATATTCTCTGTCTCATCACTTCAAACAGCCTGTAATTTTTATTATGTCTTTCTCAGTTGAATTTTATTAACTGCCTCAAACACTTTTCAATCACGTGTCTTCTTGTATCAGCTTGTTCAGGAGGGTTCACACACCCCTGTCCCATGTGGGAGCTGCATCTCAAACATACAGCATGTTCTATATTTGTTGGATTGCAATTAACATATCAACTGTCTTATATATATCAGTATTACAAGGTATTGGCTACTATTTTAATTTTCCTCTGAAAGTTTACCTAAGACATTAGTTTCTGTGATTGGGAAGAAACCTTGCTGAGTATCTGTAAGTTTATTTTTTTTACTAAATAGCCTGAATTTTCATTAATTCTACAATAATGGATAATTTACTATAATCAGTACTTATGTGCAAAACAAATTGATATTTAATTAGTAAGTGATAATTCATACATTAATGTTGATAAGTTAATAAACAATGTACCACCTAATGTACATATTATGAATATGCTTGTTGATAATTTTTAAAAACCAAGGGTTATTTTGCAGAGCCCAACAACTTAATGCACCTTTTAAGTCATTTGTTTTGTTGGTTTTCTGTTTTTCAGTGGTAGGTCTGTACAACTCACCCTACAGTGCTCAGTCACACCCTGCTGCGAAGACCCAGACCTACAGACCCCTTTCCAAAAGCCACTCAGACAATGGCACAGATGCTTTTAAGGGAGCGCCCTCCTCAGGGCCTCCCCCCCATGTCCCGCCACGACCAAGAGATCAGTCCTCAACAGAAAAGTAAGGTTCCTTCTTCCCCATAATGGCTTCTCTTAGGATAAAAATTAACTCACAGTGGCACTCAGTGAAGAATCAGCCCAGTGCTATGGAGTGAATACACGTAAAGACTTATTATATTAGTCAATAGGGGGACATCATTACTGAGATCATGCTGAATGCTTTCTGGGAAGTCGTGGTCACACTCTCATAATGCTCACAGTTAAACTTGATGTATCAGGGACACAAACTAATTTTTGTTCAATAAGTGCATATGGGAAATAAAGAGGCCACAGATGTAGTTCTTAGGAAGAACATTTGTCTGTGTACTACAAACAATAAAACTTGTACATGCATGTGCACATGTACACATGCACATACACATACACATACACACACACTCACACACAAAATGCTGTGGGCCTTAGAGATGTGGCTCAAGGGTAGTAGCTTGCTCCTGAACCCCAGGTCCAGTTCCAATTCTTAGCTGAAATGGGGGAACAGTATGGTACATCAGTCATGGACTCTCAGTCTTTATAGAGATGAGGTAAAAATCCAAGATCACTCTGAGCTGCATAACTTCCAAGCCAGAATGAGGCTACACACTAATATTATGCCTCAAAATAAAACATACAAAATTAAATAAAATAACTGGAAATATTTGGCATGTCCCATTTGCTGTCCCACATTTGAGAGAGACTAAGCAGGTAATTTTTCATTTTCAACAATTTGAAATTTCATGTCTTCTAGAAACCAAGAGAAATTATTCTTAAATAAGGCATTTTTAACAAGTGTCTGTGACTCATTTCCACTGATTCTAGTTTTCATTTCTCCACTGAAATATTTAATAACCTATTGACATCCAAAGAAATTTTTATGACCACATTTCAATTGTGTTATGTTAGTAGGACTGTAGCTAACACTCCTAGTTCTTGGTAACCTTTACCAACAGCTGATTATGAGGCAAGTACTATGCTTAGCATTTTCCTTGTATTACATCATTTTATTCTGATAACAACCCAAGGGGACATATTCTCCATTACAGGGGGGAAAAAAAAACAGCTTTGAATGTTACAATAACTTGCTCTATTTGTACAGAGTCCAAGCCAAACCAAAATTCAATCTCAGATTCCCCTGAAGACAAATCCCATACTACCTTGACTGGTAATTAATAAGTAGTAATGGAAAGGGTACTTAAGGTTACTGGTTTTGATATTATTGGGGTTACTGGTTTTTATATTAGTGGGGTTTTAAGTATTTTCTATGACATATTGTCTTAGTTATATTGTTCTGTTGCTCAGACAGTAAACGGGACACAGTTTCACAAAGATATGAAAGCTGAAATGGGAAAGTGTGAGGGCTCTGCTGTAGAGTTCACTGATTACACCTAGAACTTGGTCCTCATTTTCTCTCTTGGAGCACTTCTCATTTTGTGAATAATTTCATCCCACTCCATTAAGAACCAGGATTTCCTAACTCAAAAGACCATATACTCCTTTTTCTCAAATACAAGTAAAAAACTATGTACCAGGCTGGAAGGAAAGCACTGACCCCCCCAAAAGCTTTTCTTCTGTGTGCATGCACACACATGCACATGTGCGTGCGCACACACACACACACACACACACACACACACAATCAATAAATAAACTCTGCTAAATTAGGAATTGACTGTGGGTGGTATGTCATTGGTGCTTTATGCACAGAATTTTTTTCAACATGTGGTTTGCTGTTCATTTACAGGCATGACTGGGACCCTCCAGACAGAAAGGTAGACACCAGAAAATTTCGATCCGAGCCAAGGAGTATTTTTGAATATGAGCCGGGGAAGTCATCCATTCTGCAGCATGAAAGACCCGTAAGCACTTGTCATTGATCAGAAAGCAAGCTTGCTAGCCTCCAGGTTCCCAAGTAAACCTGAATTTCACCCCCATTCTATTGTGCTCTTTGTTCTAAGTACCAACAACAGTGATAGTAATAACAGCATCTATAAATGGGTACCTACTGCAAACCAGGCTCTATAGTTTGTAATAATTCCTTTATCTTATGTAGTGTTCCCAACAACCCTATAAAGCAGATGCACAAAATTCCTGTTTTACATACCGATCAAGAGACTGAAGCAGTATTAACTGGATCCCACACAGTCACGTAGCTGGCATGTGTGGGAACCAGTTTAGCCTAGGCAAACTTTGGCTTGGTGTACTTCATCACTACTGTGCTGACTCCTCTGAGCAAGAAACCATCAGCTACTAGTCACCATCACCATAATTTGATTGTTTTGGACTATAGTATACTTAGTGGCTAACTATAATAAGTTAGTGGTACTTACCTCACTTCATTGGAAAACTGAGTTCCAAGTAACTATAGTGCAAGCCCAGTATTCTAACAAGTCTTAGGAGATGGGAAGGTCAAGACCCATGGGTGTGACCTGAGATCCAGCTACGGATAAATCTCTTCAGCCACAGAAAAAGATGAGTGGGAAGGAAGTAGTAGCTTGGAAGGAAATAAGAATGGAAGTCTTATATTTGTATCCCTCCTAAACCACCTTGTTAGAAGCCAGTGTTGTGACAAATGATATGAGAGATCATTTTGACAAGCCTTGTTAAATTACCATTTTATGGGGAGAGACTATTACCAAAAAACAAAAACAAAATAAACCAACAAACAAAAAACCCACAGGGCAAATTGGGCAAGGGTGTTTGTTTGAAAGACCAGCTAAGTGTCTTGAAGGCTCAGGCTGTAGAAAAGAGGGTGGGCTTGCTAGGTAAGAGTGACATACATCAAATGGATGTCGAGGATGTAAGAATGCATCTTCTCTCTTTTCACTCAGAGGTTATTCTTGAGAACATCCCTTTGTTCTTTTCAGTTCTAATTTTTGAAAGTTACATAAACAGCTAGGCAATTCTGTGTGGCTCTCTTCAATTCCTAGAGAGCCCTGTCAGCATCCCCCTTACTTTATCCCCCTCACTCTCTATGAACTACATTCCTACTCATGGGGAGAAATGTCATGGCCAAGTATCCCTTCTAGACCACAACAGTCTGTTGTCTGTATCACCATAACATGTCTGTTTCCCTGATTAGTGAATCCAGTCTCCAGATAATTTTTTAAGAAGCCTATCACTCCCCAAATTTTCTCCCAACTCTTTTTTGTCCCTAGAGCAAAATCTATTAATATAATTAAAAAAAAAAACTAAAGAGTAAAACCTACCAAAATCCTGTGGTTTCACTCTCTGCATGCTACACAAAGGGCTTTCTCCCCCTTCTCATCAAACCTTGACATGATCTGTTCTTTCTTCCATGGAAACATTCTTCATCATCTCTCTTTTTGTGGAAAGTCTCTCTCTCTCTCTCTCTCTCTCTCTCTCTCTCTCTCTACACACACACACACACACACACACACACACACACACACTAAAGTACGCTTTCTTTGGGGGCTTGTTCACCCTCAGCTGTGGGTTTGTAGCTCTCCTTGCCATATACATGCAGGATATCCCATTTTGACATCCTTATGACATGCCTTTAGGTTTCTTGAAAGCAGGTACCATATCTGGCATACCTTTTATCTATCTTCCATACCTAACCCAATGCCCAGCATGTGATACCTATGTAGTAAATAACTCCTTGAGTCTCTAAGTGAATGTGAGCTGATGTTGCCTTTGCCGTAGATGGGTAAAATTGGTGAGAGATTGAATCTATCTATGAGGTCCAGTGAGTCTCCATCAAGACATAGATGGAATTCAGCAATAACTCTAGCTCAGCTTCTGAGATTCCTTGAGGTATAGCATTTCTGCCCAAACACAAATACTCAACCCCTGACAAAAAAAAGTTCACATGCATCCTTAGAAATTGGGGGACAATCTATCAATTATCATGCTTGAACAGGAAGGCAAAGAGTAAATGCATTTCTTTGAAGCTCATAAATTTAGTAAATAATCAAATAATCATAATTGAATGTTTATTTGATTATAAATCCCAATGCTGACTAAATGGGCCTAATATCTGACCCTTGAAAAGGCCTTACAATCCCCAGTTTAACTGACCTGACCCATAGGTCAGTATACAGTCATTTCCAGTGTGCAGACTCCATATGACAATCATTGCAACTCTACTGGGATACTATTAATAAAAGCATTACAGATCATCTGAATTGGATACACTTGTAGATAAGCCATGTTAATTGTTCTTATGCTTAATAAAATAAAAATCTACAAAGACATTGTTACCTTTCTTATAATAGCTGTGCTTTCATATAACAATAGCAGAAAGGAACATATATTGGATGAGGTGAAATGCATGTAAACCACCAAGAATTAAAGCATAAAAATTTGAGAAGTTTTATCTGATGGTTTGACCCATGAAGAATTATCCCATTATGCAATAGTATTTGCTATGAAAGCAAAATAAATAGAAAGCACAGCAACCCATGCCTTGAAGCTTGAAAGCCACTGAGCATTTATGAGAACAAACTCATAGGTTCTCTAGTGTGTTTAGGATAACAGAGAGTGTGTGCTCAGTGGGAAGACTGAAAAGCAGAAAGGCTCTCAGACCTCAAAAGCATTTAAAGCCTTTTAAGTTGGGTTGGGGAAACTTGAAAAATTATCCATTCTAGGGAGTCTTTTTTAAGGACAATCACACATAAGCTCTGGTTGTAGTGTATCTGAAGCACTTTGTCTCACACCAGAGATAAGGTTCTTATTAAGCAGAAGGTTGCTAGGTTTGTAAAATAGCCTGAAATAAAACAGAATGTCCATCAGCTCTCTTCTGCCAATTACATTGGGAGGTAGCTGTCGTCTAGTGGATTCCTAAGTGTTCATCCTTGCAGGGGACGAAAAGGAGTTGCCCTGATGTGAGGTAATGAAGTAGTGACAATGTTAGGACACATATGCTGCAGTTATCTGGCTGCATATGTGTCAGTAACCATCACAGTGTTTCTGTGTTCTTCAGCAGTAGCTCCGGATTGCCACAGAACACATTTGATTGCAACTAAAGGAACTCAATCGATCAACCACAGCAAAGAGACAGTTGTACCATGTCCTTTAATTTTTTGGATGGGGGTGTCTATTAGTTGAGAGTGATTTTGCTGATTGTTTTATATTCTTTTGAGACGAAATCTTGCTATGTAGCCCAGGCTGATTTCAAACTCACCATCCTCTTGCCCCTCCCTCCTGAGTGCCTGCAAATGCAAGTGTGTGCCACCACACCCAGCCTATAAAACAAAGGCTCTACTCAAGTGTATACCACTCACTGCATTCGAGAATTACGGAGGATGACTTGTCACTGTTTGCACAGGTTCTAGCAAGTTGCTCATTGTGAGTGTAGACAGAATCTTTGTTAAACAGCAGGATTTAATAAACTTTTATTTCTATGTAAATATAGTTATAAATAAATATTTATAAATGCATTTAATAATGGGAAATTGCTATTTTTAGATTTATAGCAGAATGATAGAATCTGGGGAAAGGAAGCCTATATTTTATTATAGAAATGTATTTCTACAAAGGAGAATGTAGTCTATCCATTTGTTACAGATTTGCTTTAAGTCCAAGTTGAGGTGAAGCTAAATAGCTTGTTTTCCTATTTGTTTAGCAGATTTGCTGCCCTCTACTGTTCATAACATATACAAAGATAGAAAATATCAAGTATGCTCTAGGAGAAGGAAAAGTAAAAACAAGCACATGTAAGACCTATCACCAATGAAGCAACAAGAGCAAAGGCAAGAACTTCATATCCAATCCTAGGGTAAAGGCATAACCAAGATTGCTGTTGAGCCATCCTGAGCTGGGCGTGGTCAATGCTACAGGTGGGGTCAGGGTGGATATCTCACTACAATAGAGTTTTCAAGCCCCTCCCACCTCCAAAGTTTCTAGCTTTCCCTAGCAAAATAAAACACTGTAGCTGAAAATCGAGGTTTTAAAATTAAGAGTTCATAGTCACTAAGTGCACAGCATCAGGAACTACAGAGCTTGGGAGATCATAGGTCTCTTCCTGTGAAGAAAATGGTAATCCTCCAAATAGAGCAAAGTTACTGGTAAATTCTCTCTAATGTTAACCATTCAAAGACAAAGTCTCCAGCAAAGTTACATCATGGAAGTAATTACACACTGCAGCTGACATCATCTAAATAATGGAGAAAAGTAACACTTTATCACTAACAAAATCTTAACACTCAGAGATCAAAATTTTTAATTCAATGGAACACAGTTACTATTAATTCTATTTTTTTTTAATCAATGGGAATAGGTTACTGGAAGATGTTCTTTCTACAGACTACACTGTTAAATGGAAAACAAAAGTAATACTGACATAAATTGGGGCAAATATCTCAAGAGTTTCTGCAGTATTTTCTCATTCTATTAGAATAGCTTAATTATATTTGTGGTAAATAAATAAATAAATAACCTCATAACCAAAAGTAAAATAATACTAAAAGGACAGTTTCAGTTCTTGACCAACACTGTAGTATTTTTTGTACACTTCATGTGCCCCTCCAGATACCCACTTTAGGATGTTATCACCCACCATACAAGAGTGTTATTCACTCAGCATCAGTCCCAAGCAGATCCAGGGTTCCTCTGCAGTCTTTGTCATCACTATCCTACATACAATAAGCTTGACCTCTGCACTATTTTTGCTATGATGCCTCAAATTTTTCTATCATTGTGTGTAGTTACTATAATATCACCTTCTTCTACCATAAAAAAATATATTAAAATAAAACTATTCCCATGACCTTTTCAGTGGTATAATGTGTCATTCACTACAGGCCAAGTGGCACTAACAAAACAATGTTAGAACAATGTTAGAACAATGAAACACTACAATAAGTTCATGATAAAATGGTGGTCTATTAGGGAATGTGGAATATTTCAATGTCCCCAGCATTATAGGGTTATAGAGCTCTACTCAGTAGGAATCTTTGAGATCTGTAAGAAGTCTAAGAAAACAATGAGATTGGATAGTGGGTGTTCAGTAGACCTCCTAATATGGTAGTGTGGGCATCAGAGCTTTTCTCTTGGCTAGAGCAAGTGGATTTTAGGGAACAAAATAACTTTCTTAGAATTTTTCTCACTTAATATATTGTACCAAGCAACTATACACATTTAATTAGGGACGTGTGGTTTAGCAAAGAAGTATCTATGCACATATATGGTACTTCAAGCGTTATTTTTATAGACAAGCAACCAGCATGACACCCTCTAGCTGGGTATGTATTGTAAAAAGGCATTAAGGATATCATTGGGTTAAAGAAGGGCTTTATGTCTATGTTCTATTGCTAAAGTAATTGTATTTGTTTTTTCTCAACTGTTTATGTTTACACCCCTAGCATTTCTATCTTAAACACAACATTCATAAACCACCTGAGATACAAGTCAATTATACTCCATACCCTTTCCTCCCCTCCCCTCACCTACTGTGAAAAGCCTGATTCTCCCACACCCTCCTTTAGCTCCAAGTCAGCATGAGGAGACTGAATCACAGAATGGGATGTTTCTTCAATTATGGAGAAGCTTGTGACTTTGAGATATTTGCTGTGGTGGGCCATTTTTTAAGGAATCTGATCTCCATGGTCAGCCCAGCCACAGCATAGCCTCTTCCTGAAACTGTTAGTCTCCAGGACTAATGACAGCTGGTATCCTCCAGGTTCCACGGAGAATCCTTGTCTAACGAACCAGTATTTCCTCACCCCCTTTCTCTTACAGCCCCCTCTCCCAACAACTCCAACACCTGTTCCCAAGGAACCCAGTCGGAAGCCTGTCTCAGTGTCACCCTCAACAGATGGCCTGCGTAGCCCTTCCCCTCCACCCCGGAGCTGTGTCCCCACAGCACCCCGTCAGAGTCCGAGTGCCCCAGCTCTCTCTCCCACCCGGGTGAGCTCCTTCCTTCTTCACCTCCTCTCATGCTGTGGGGAAGCAGAGCTCAGCCTTTGTTCCGAGGCTGAGACGTGGTCAGATCCCTTCTCTGCTGGGGTTCTTCCTGCTCCTAGATCCCGACCTTTCTCCCAGGCACCCTCATCTCCACCATTCCATGTCTCTAACCCTCCCCATGTACAATGTCTGCATCTTGCAGACCACTGTTGCTGCTGACAATTGTCAGTGACTTTAGGGACAGCAGACTGGCCAATCCAGGAAAGCCCCCTTAGTACCTCGTTTGGACCTATCTTCACGGTCACTACCAGGATACTTCCCCTAGTTATGCAACAGGCTAAAGAATTAGCTATGGTGGCAACAGAGACCCCAACAATGCCACGGACCCTCATTTTCATATCCTCATTTTGCTCATTGTACTTTACTTTCTCCATTCTGTCCTGCTGAGGTTTGTTGGATGAGTGTGTGAGGTTTGTGGATGCGTGTGTGTTTTCATACCACATGGTGTTTTTCCTCACTTCGCTCAGTGTGCCTTTTCCTTCCCTTTTCCTTCACATCTGCTCTAGACTGGTCGCATAAATCCAGATGACATAGATTTAGAAAATGAGCCCTGGTATAAATTCTTTTCAGAACTGGAATTTGGACGTCCGGTAAGTGAGGCTAGACAATTACTATAAGACAAATAAATAGGAGGATGTTGTTTGATGTCAAAAACATAATCATGCCAGGAGGGAGACGTGTCATGTCAAGAACAAAAGCTGGATGAATAAAATATCCATGCTCCGGCTTTGTGCAAATTCACTCTTGTATCAAATGCCTAAATGTGTTCTTTCACTTCCCATGTGTTTTCTCCTAATCATGCACTAGAAGCACATCTAATTCATTGCATATCTATCATGTTGAGTTAGTTTAGGGCAAAGCTGTATTTTGTACAACACATTTTGGTGTAGTTTAACAGTAACAAGTACCTTGCCTTCTTCAAGAATGACTTGCCAGCTCCAATAACAAAAAAAAAAAAAAAAAAAAAAAAAAAAGGACGAAAAAGGTCAAGGAATTTGCCCAAATCTAGGCCTTTTGTACAACAAAATCTTTGGGCAGTTTCCTCTAAAAGTACCGTCAGAACATTCCCACTATAAATATCCCCACTATAAAATGATTCTTTGAATAGAAGAGATGTAACAAAAGGAAAGAATTTAAAAGCCCTGTGGACCTTGATTTATAGTGTTGATCATGAGCCACCAAAAGATCTCTTATCTCCAGATTCCCATGTTCAAAGCCCCCAGTTTGACCCTCATGGGGTCTGATCTGTTTGGGACAGGTCAACTCAGGTTTCATGCAACTTCCTTTAATCATTCGATCTCTATTGAGGAATTGTTTGTGGGTTTCATGTTTTCTGAAACATGCATGTTTTTACAACCCCTAAACTGTTGAACAGCATATCATTTACACTGCCCAACAATTTTATAAGAACCCAGAATCTGTTCTTTCTCCACGTCACTTAAGAATTTATAAATATGCCGATTACATATTCCTTACTGGATGGCTATGAGAGCCCTTTTTATGCATTAAAATGCACTCTTGGTTAACCTCATTGTATGTTTTATTGAACTAAATCAAATGTGACTGTAAGTGAATATAAAACAAAATTTCCTGGCATTTCTATTACCTAATAAGAGGATTGTTTCCTCCTATTTTTTTCTGGTATCTCCTCTTATTAAAATGTATTTTATTTATTGGGAAAATGCTCTCTTGTTTTGCTTTGTGTTTGCTATTATTGGGGAAAGTTTCTAGAGACTGTACCGATTTTCTGTGTTGAACCCAAATTATCATCACTTTCTGCCATCCTCCTCAGCCACACAAGGACACTCACCTGCATGTTCTCGCTTATTTCTCTGATGTCCATGCAATCTACTGTGGCCAAAGACCAGGAGTGCTAATTTGGATCTGACAGATTAAGTTTACAAATCTACTAATTGAACACAAGCAGCTTTTCACAGTGCTGGGGAATGTTTACAAGCATTGCACTCTTCCTCCTAGGCTGCCATTTTGCTCCATTCACGTGGCTCTTTATATGTATGTGATTCTCTATCAGCACTCGATTTCTAACCATTGTCACCTTTCCCACATGGTCATTCCTCGCTGCCATTGACTCTCCTCCATCCATCCCATCTCTCCACTTCTGCTTATGTGGTGTATCTACCCCCAGCCTCCTAAAAAGGCTCTGGACTATGTTCGAGATCCTTCTTCCGGTGTTTCCAATGAGGTAAAGACAAATTCTTCTCTCCTTCCAGATTTCCCCTCCATTACTATCAGCCTGAACATGCGTGTTTTTTAACAGTTTCCTGTTGTTCCGGTTGGTTTTGGAAACTCTTTGTATCACTGTGTTGCATGTAGCAGCATTCCTAGACACTGTGAAGGGGTTGGCTGTTTCTGAATTCCAGGTGATAGATTTTTTTCCAACTGTTATTTCCAGCTAAAATATTCAGTAGCATAAAAGACCCAACTCTTGAACTTGAGCATGTATTGACTGCCTGTTTTCATAAACTGGGAAAGGTACTACTGAAAGTCTTCTAGAAAACAATCTAGGAGGTGCAGACTCAAAAGTTGAGGTTCTTGAGCCATGGAGATGGCTCATTAGGGAAAAGTATTTGCTGTGAAAGCCCAATGGCCTGACTTCCACCCTGGAACCTGCCCATTGTGCATGAAGAGAGCATGCTCTCATGTGCTGTGGCAAAAGTGCTATACCCATACAGACAGAATAACATGGTTTTTTAAAAACTAAGTTTTGATTCTTATATAATCAGAAACATATTCCTTATATTTTTCTAAATGTTGCTAATCTTTTGCTTTACTAAATGCTAGTGGATTTTACTATCAGTCAAGAATAGAGATAACAAATACCTGGCATGGGTGTTCCAGTTTCCCAGTTCCACAGGCACCACTAACTCTTGGAATTGTAATTCAGGCAGCCACTAGAGCAGATAGTCACTGCTATGTGCAGTAAGACTCAGTTGAAGTCTCTGCTGACAAAAGCTTATGGATGGGACTGGAGAGATGACTCAGTGGTTGAAGAGCACTAGCTACTTACTCTTAGAGAGCATGGCTTTGGTTCTCAGCACCTACAGGGCAGCTCACAAACATCCACAACGCCATTTGTAACACCCTCTTCTGGGGTCTACCAGCACCAGTCCTACACATAGTTCACAAGAGGCATGCATGCAAGCAAAACATGCATGAACTAAAACTAAGTAAACCTTTTAAAAATAATAATAATAATGCTTATGAAAATCAGCCAAATAGCTGGGTGAAGAGTTTATGTCAGGCCATGAAAATTTTAACCTGGATAAGGAAAAAAGTATATGAAAAGGAACAGAAAGGACTCTTAAGTCAAACTTTGCCCTCTACAAAGAAGCCAGAAGGTTATTTTGAGAAGCACTTAGAAGACACAATAGATATGTCACTGCTATGTTAACTGTCAGGCAGATAAAAGCCTCCTGTAGGCACACTGCAAAGAAGCCAGGCAGGAGAGCAGCACACAGAGTCAACCAATTTTGTCACAGTAGTTGCTGTGTACTTTTAAGTGAACACAGCACTGAATAAATATCTTACTTTCGTTGTAAAAGCCTCATTCAAGCTATGTGCAAGATATGAGCCAAGAACTCATGCTAAGGACACACAATGTCCTGACAGATTGCAGGCATGAAGTTTGAAGAGTAAATACTCAAATTTCCAAAGATTTAATCTGTAACTCCAAGTTATAGATCATCTAATAACCATCTATCATGGTATGAGTTAAAAGACTGAAAAAAATTTTATCAAATAAAAAGTAAAATCTAGAAATCAGAAACTTTTTGAAGTGTTGAATTCAGTAATTTTTCAAGACTCATATTTTGTAGGCAAGCCTGCTCTCTAAAGAGAATTAAATAAAATAATTCTACTCTGTAGGTTGTATCATTGCAGCATATGGACAACCTAGAATATATTTTGAAATTCAATTCAATCAAATATTTTTCTTGTGTCTCCACACCAAAACTATGTTACTGTATTGATGAACTTTGGCTAGATTTATAATCCATTGGGGAGAGAGATATACTTATCATATATGGCTACTATTGTTTTGTTGTTGTTGTTTTGTTTTTGGGGGTCTTTTTGTTTTTTGTTTTTTGTTTTTTTGAGATAGGGTTTCTCTTTGCAGCCCTGGTTGTCCTGAAACTATCTCTGTAGAGCAGGCTGGACTCAAACTCAGAGACCTACCTGCCTCTGCCTCCTGAGTGCTGGTATCAAAGGCATGTACCACCACCACCTGGCTCCATTTTTTTTTAAATTCAGTGTTATACTGATGTGTTAAGATAAATGAATCAACATTTTATAAATATTCCCCAGGTATTTTGATCAGATATTTCTGGAACTTTTTTAAAAGTAGTTGGCTCATTAATTTTGAAACAGAACTTAGAAAATATATTCAACTCATTGGATTTCTAGTTACAAAAAATGAAGAGAATAACTTTAAGGAATATATCTATAGTGGCCTACTAAGATGGCTATCAAGAGAATAAATCACTAATTTCTCAGCCTTTGTTTCAAAACTATTTCCTTTATACCACACTTTCCCCCCTCATCCCTGATAGATGCTTTTAGAGCTTGGCTCTTCTAGAAACTATTTTTTTTTTCTTGATAATTTTTTTATGTAAACTTGAAACCAACTTGTTTTACATGTCAATCCCAGTTCCTGTATCCTCCCGTCCTCCCCTGTTCCCTCCACCAATCTCCATCCCATCCCCTTTCTGCTCCCCAGGGAGGGAAACTATTTTTTTATCACTGAGTTTTGGGGAAAAATTTAATTTAATGCACTTTTTACATTATGGTAGTGGCCAAAATACTACATTTAAAAAGCAGTTTGATAGCAATTTAACTGTATGTCCTTATCTTTGGGGACTGAGAGGCATGAGTGACTTTAATAGTATAGTTAACAAAGGTGTTTGTGAGAAGATAGCCTTTCAGAGTGTAAGAGAATATAGTCCCATAAGATATTTTGATCCTACCTTTAATAACATTTCTACTAAAAACTAATTGTTAGGTAATACCTAAGCCATCATTGATCAAATACCTGGTTTTTGTCAAACATATGTTACAAATGACATATTTTCAAATCAAATTTAACTAAACATTTGTCTGCAAATGTCATAATGAAACCTACACTTTTCTAGCTTGAAATAAAATCTAAAACACAGTTAAGAACTTGTTTGCAAAAAGTTTAACCAATAGTTTCTTAGCAGAAAGAATGAGTTAATGTCTGCCTGTCCTTTAAATGACCTTCTACTGTGTTAAAATAGTGATCAGATGCAAATGGTGAGCACATTGTGTTTGGTAAAATGGACTAGTGCTTTCCTTGGAACTCCTTTTTTCTCCATTTTAGTGTCATAATTATTGTACAAGGTTTTGCTTTAATTATTAGTCTAATTTTTATTATTACCTTATAATTGACAACTGAAGTTCTTCTTATGAGACAGAAAATCAAAGTATGGTTTTTAGGTCAGCAAGATGACTCAGTTGTGACCTGAGTTTGATATCAGAACTCATATTGTATAAGGAGAGAATTGACCCCTTACATTTTGACCTACACACACACACACACACACACACACACACACACACACACACTTATGTGGATTATGAGAAACAAGACAAGGAAGAGTAATCACAGTTTGTCCTAACTCAGAAACATACTTCATCAATTCTCATACAGTATTTTATTTCATATTGCAACATTACCCAAGCTTATCATAACTGAGAGTTCATATTTCTGATCTTATTAGGGGTATTCTGAGAGCATCCTCAATCTGACACTTTCGGTTGTCAGGTTGTCCCATAAAACCCCATGACCCACAGGTAGTGACACTCTGAGGCTCTCTATCACTTCTGTAAACATGTAGAATTACCTAATATTATTTTACTCATTTTTCTTTCTTCATTACTATGTTTTCCTTACTTTCTAGTATCCAATACAGAAAAATGCAAATAATTATGTAAGTTTATCATCATAGTAATTTTCTACTCTCATATCTGTTGACATGGGAATATAAGAATTTTCTAAGAAGTACAAGTATTAAATATGCTTTTCCTGTCCAAAGAACATTTTCATGTCAATAAATCCTTTGTTTTACTATGGGTAAAATTCCATTCTCAATCAGTAATATGGAATTAAAGCAAAATATTATGCATGAAGCTTGTCAGGCTGATCTATATACAATTCATAAAGTTATAATCTAGTGTTTAATTGGGAAACTGATCGTATTTACCAGTTAATCAAAAAGAATAGTAGAAATCAGTTGTAAAGAGAGATGGTCATTTCATCTAAGCAGGCTTTTAATATACTGATTAAAAAATTCTCTATATAGGAACTTACGATAAAATTCATCAACTCTTGCCTTTATGGTTGACCATTTTAGGCCTTTGCATAAATATTTCAAAATAACTTTTATTTTTTTCAACAAACCAAAGTTCATCTCTGATGATAAATTGAGCAATATACATGACCAAAGTCAAAATATTTTCACTGGGAATAGGTTTGCTGTGAGTATGGAGATCACAACATGCTGCTTCTACCTTGCAATGTCCCCTCAGAAACTCAATACCTCCTCTCTCTTGTAATGTAGATATTTCAGCAAGTGTCTCAGAAACAGCCATGTACAATAAAAACTTTATCTACTGCTTTTGCGTGGCATCGGTTTTAGTATGTTCATAATGAGATGTGTAAAGCATACCATTTAAAGGAGTATATCTTGATTCATTCATTTTAAACTAATTCTGAACTTAAATGGCTCAGCATTTATAACTCTGTGTCTGGCTCAAGCCCCACATAATTTGGGTTTATTTTTAATCAAATTCTGTGTATTTTATGAAAATAATATGTGTGTTTATAGAGCAAGGACATTCAAGTTCCACTTATATGCTATATTTTTAGGATAACATCTGCTAATAAAAATGAAATTATAAAGAACTTCATGTTTTATAAGGATTTAATGATAACTGCAAATATTTTCTTGCAAATAAAGCCAGTTCTTCATGTAGAAAGCTCCTATTTACCTCAACAGCTATTGAGTGCCTGAAATTAATGCAGAAGTTAACTTTACTCATTCATCCAGTCAGTGTTCCTCATGATAATGTTACTGGTTATGTCCTCTTCCTCCTCCTCCTCCTCCTCCTCTTCCTCCTCCTCTTCCTTTTCCTCCTCCTCTTCCTCTTCCTCCTCCTCTTCCTCTTCCTCCTCTTCCTCTTCCTCCTCCTCTTCCTCTTCCTCCTCCTCTTCCTCTTCCTCCTCCTCCTCTTCCTCCTCCTCCGCCTCTTCCTCCTCCTCCTCTTCCTCCTCCTTCTCCTCTCCCTCCTCCTCCTCCTGATGAAATGAATGTCTTGCTTGTGTTATATCACAGAATGCAGTGTATTTTGTTAAGAGGAAATTCAAAGATGTTATCTTTTTTGGAAAGACATGTTTTGTAAGAATAAATTATTCTTTCGATTGCCATATTTAGATTCTAAATTTTAGAGTACCCTTTTTAGAATGCAAAACTCATGGTGAGAAATAAATGAAAATTGTTATTGTAACTCTTTTCATGAGACTGCTGCCCTATCTTAACAGGCCTCCATCTATCAGTCCACTATTGACAGAAGCCTGGAAAGACCCAGTAGGTAAGGATCTCATGACATTACCCTAACAAAATACTCTATTCCAGTAGTTGCTTCCCCAATAGTAATCTTTCTTAGTGAAATACTGATGAAGATCATTATCTCGTGTTCTTATTTTAAGTACCAGACCTCATGCTTGATTTATATGTTTGCATATCATTTTATATGATCACATCCAAGAGTTATTAAAACTCCACAATGTAATCCTTCACAAGGGTCGGTTCTGCCCACTGCTGCCTTTGCCTCTTGTCTTCCAGTGAGGGTTGAAAATAACTAATTCTCAATGTTGCTTTAGAAACCCTTTATAAATTAGAAACTACTGCTATGTACTTAAACTTTGATCACACAAATTGTTTTCACTACATTTTGAGGCATCCCACATCCATAAACATATTCAACCCATTGACTACACCATGTGTTAAAAACTAGTCACCAACTTATCTTTGAAGACACTAATGTTTAAGCTCAGTAGCAGACTGAAACAAGTTAACTTGTCACCACTAGTCATAACTGTCCCCAGAGTCAACCAATGTGAGCTCTGATCATACCTTTTAAATATCATACTTAATTGAAACAATCACCAAAATTCAGATGTAGTTCAATAGAAATTAATATTGCACAGTGTCATCATAGTTGTACATAATGAAAGTGACTTGGAGGACAGTATGTAGCATGTATCCAATTGTTTGATTTTTTTAAAATGGTACCCTACTCAAATATATGATCAAAAAAATCTCCCTTTCTTTATAAACTACCATCATATTCTACAATTGTATAAAGGAAATTTTTGACAGTTTATTTGCTGACTAGATTTTTAATCACTCATGATTTAAATATTGGAATTCTGGTTTAAGGTTCTTCTGAACACATTAGGAAAGCAGAAGATAATCCTTTAGGTAGAAGAGACATTTTGCTAGATGGCTTTTTTCACATGGTCCTTCTATTTTAACACTTCTTTCTAGATAGAATTATGTTGCCAGAATTCTTTATACACAAAACAAAATATATATGAAACAAATAGGAATCATAACACTTAGTTGCCAAGAACAATAAGTTCACTGCAGGGAAATTTTTGCTTTAAAGGGTGATTATAAACACAGAGAGGGAGAAAGAGAGAGAGACAGAGAGAGAGACAGAGACAGAGACAGAGAAAGGAGAGAGAGAGGGGAAAAAGGGGAGAGAGAGAGAGTAGCAATCTACATATGAATGTTTAAAACAGTTTTTTTCCAAAATTTCCAAGTCCTAGAGTCCATTAAGATGTTATTTCTTAGGTAAATAACATCTATATAATCAAATGTGATTCATCAATAAGAAATAAGCTATAAAGTCACAAAAAAGACATGGAAAAAGGTGGAGACATAGTACACTTGAGAGAATGTTTATCAAGGATGCATGAAACCTGCTTCAGTCCCCAATGCCGCATTAAAAACTAGGCATGGTGCTAGAGGCCTGTCACCTCAGCACTTGGTAGGTACAGACAGACAATCAGAAAGGCAAAGTCATCCTTGGCTACATAGTTAGTTTGAAGCCATCCTGGATTGCATGTTTAGATTATTGTATGTATTTTTTGCCTCAGTGCATGTATGTATACCAGGTGCATGTAGGTGTCTGTGAATGCAGGAAGGGGGCGTTAGATCCCATGGAACTGGAATTCCATATAGTTGTGACAAAATGTATAAATACTTGCCAAGTCATCTCTCCAGCCCCACAAAATCATGTCTTTTTTAAACTCATGGATAAAAAGGCACATTACAAATGGAAGAAACAAATCTGAAAAGATTACATATTGTCTGATCTCAACTGTGTAACATTTGGAGATGGTGGATCATAGAGACAAGATCAATGGTTTTTACAAAACACAAAGACAAAGAGAAAACTGAGGAAATAGTATTCAAGGAATCTTTAGTAGGAACAGAAGTATTCTACAAGGCATGTTCATGATGGATGCATTTACAAACCCCTAAAGTATGTCACAGATAGCATGAACCCTATATATAAAAGACAGATTTTGAGACATGGCATATGCAGATAGGGTCATTAGCTGTTACTCATGTCGATAGAAGATGTCAAGAAAAAGATGCTCAAAAAGAAAGAAGTGGGCATAGAAGAGTTCTCTGCTCAATTGTCTGTTGATCTCTGTGGAAGACATGTTCTAAGACTCGCCAAGGATACCAAAATTTACTGACTCAGAAGTGTCATAAAAATGGCACAATACTTACGTGGGCAGACAATGGTGGTACACACCTACAACCACAACACTGAGGAGGCAGAGGCAGGCTGATCTGTGAGTTCGAGGCCAGCTTAGCCTACAAAGTGAGTTCCAGGACAGCCAACACTACACAGAGAAACCCTGTCTCAAAAAAAAATTACATATAACCTACCTTCTATATACTCTGAAATATGTACAATGCCTCATGAAACACAAATGCTATTTTTAAAAAAACTAAGTTGTTGGGACTAGATAAAGGGCTCTGTGTTTAAGAGCAGTTGCTGCCCCAGATTCAGTTCTCAGCTCCCACATGACAGCTCACAACCATCTGTAACTGTAGTTCCAGGGGATCCTATGCCCTCTTCTGTCCTCCATGCATACCAGGCACTAGGTATGATACATAGACATATATGCAGGCAAAACACTCATACATATAGATAAAAATGTATAAATGTTACATACATAAGTGGTTATTATAATGGATCACATAGGGAGTAAAAACACAAGTTTGTATGTGTTCACCAGCGATTCAGTTCTTAATAATTCCAGCCACAGTTGGTTGAACCTACAGTCCAGTCAGATATTCTGCAACTTGAAACTTTCCTTTAAAAATGAAGACAGCACCCCTTACCAGCAGGAAGTAGTTTGGAAAGAACGACGCCCAAATTCCCAAATATTGTGTATAAATGTTTGTTTTCATTTAATTGGACTTTGTTATATAAAATTAAATAAAAAAAAATAAAATGAATCCAATACATATTTTAAAGATGAGTCTAAAGAAAGAATTTGAATGTGAAGGAATGAATTTCTCTCCATGCAACTTTGTGGGTAGGTTAGGCATTACACCTTTATCTAATGTATCATCAGTTTTCTCGCACACTTGTTGACCTCTTCCAATCCCCATCAAAGTGACACTGATTCCCCCTGTCAGTTCTGCAAGCATGGCTGGTGACTTTAGGAAACGGAGGAAGAGTGAACCTGCAGTGGGCCCACCCAGAGGCTTGGGTGATCAGAGTATGAACAGGACCAGCCCGGGGCGAGCAGACCTCCAAGGATCAAGTTCCACATTGACGAAGTCTTTCATTAGCTCTTCTCCTTCCTCTCCATCAAGAGCCCAAGGTGAGCCACAATAAATGAACAAAGCATGTTAATTCACAATTTAGCCCAGAGTATGGGGGAGGGCCCATGATCTTGACTTATGTTTGTTTTACTTATAGTGTCCTGAAGCAAATACCATTGCCCAGCAAAGCCATTGCTACCTAATCCAATTTAAACTGTCAAGCCATTTGAATGTCTTAAAGTACTCAAGCTTGTTACTATTTTCTCAAAATATATTGAATTGTGTTTTTTCTAAAAAAAACTCAAAGTATTAAATAATTTATTGTCATTTTTATAGAAATGCATTTATAGGCCTTTACATAAGCAAATTTTCTAATGTTATTATAGATAAGTAATTAAATTTGTAGAATAAGAATTATTAATAGCAACAGAAAAATATTGCTTAAAACATGCAATGGGGTACTTTAAATTCTGGATTAGAAAGTAATTTATTTAAGACATGCCTTTAGTCATTTGCTCCATTTTGTTCAACCTTTATTTGTATGGTAGAGTATCACATTCTACCATGCAACACAGTGGTCCACGATGGTTTACAGTAAATAAATACTGGCTTAAAGCCACAAATACAACATTTAGAAATGAGGGGCCTTGGTGAGATGACTCAGTGTGGAAAGGCCCTTGCCACCAAGTTGGTCAACTTGAGTGTAATCACCAGGACTCATATAGTAAAGAAAGAACATACACCCACAAGTTGTCTTTTGACCTCTACTTAAATGTACACATACACGAGAAAAAGAAGGAAGGAGGAAAAGAAGTGAAGGAAGAAAGGAAGTGAAGGATGGCCTTCTCTTCTTTGGAAATGCAGTAACCTAAACATTGAAGGGGCAGAGTTGCTTATTTGGGTCTCAGGTCCACTACTTGGGTCTTTTTATTTTTCTCTTGACCCATGATCTACTGAGTCAGTAGCATGTCAAATTTGGGGCCCCGCAATCTCCTCCAGTCTTTGAGAGTTAAGATAGAAGAGAATGGGTTTCAAAGCATGTAAAGAAAATTAGAACAGAAGTGTCCATGGAGTGGGACAGTGGAGTGCACCTAACAACTGTATGCCCTGACACTGTTGCCACACAGTGCTAAATGGAAGCAGTGGGTGGTGTGAAAAAGACAGACTGCTTATGATGACTGTTTATGGTCTCTGTGTAGGTGGATGGCTGCACCATCTAAGATCTAACTAGCTCTCAGAAAGTAATTTCCTCATTAACTAACATGCCTTCATCATATCATATCTAAGAAAGAAGTCAGTCATGAAATGCCATGGATTCATCATTCTTGGGTACAACCCAAAATGTAAAAGATCCTGATAAATTTAACTATTTTTTTCTTACCATGAAGAGTTAAGTCAAGTTCCTTTCCCAAGTATTGCACATCAACTGAATGAATTGCCCAATTTTTGGAGAATTCAGGAGAGGATGTAATTCATAAATTATTAATAGAGATAGCTATGCTGTTAGCCTGATAGGTTAGAGTTGTGGTTTGGGCATGTCTTGTTGCTCAAACAACCACCAAATTATGCAGTAAGAATATGTTAGCTACACCAAGTATATTTCGTGTGTGGTTTGGTTTACTGTAGTATCTGCAAAGTTGCACTGAAAAACATTATGTTTTAGCATCAGGCATTCCTCTTTAATTGAAGCTATGTGTGTGAAGGTGCCTAGATTAAGCCACACTAACTGCCTTCTCTTTGCTGTACTAATACTGACATGCTCTCCTCTCTTTGTGAACCTTTTAACTTCTCCAAATGTCTCTCTCCTGCCATGCTGCTCTGGATTGAAAGGTGGGGATGATAGCAAAATATGCCCAACCCTTTGTAGTTACTCGGGGCTCAATGGCACCCCCTCTAGTGAGTTAGAATACTGTAGCGCCTATAGACAGCATTTGGATGTCCCCCGGGACTCTCAAAGGGCCATCACCTTCAAGAATGGATGGCAAATGGCCCGGCAAAATGCGGAGATCTGGAGCAGCACTGAAGAGACTGTGTCCCCAAAAATCAAATCACGTAGCTGTGATGACCTCCTGAATGATGATTGCGACAGCTTCCCAGACCCTAAAGCCAAGTCAGAAAGTATGGGTTCTCTGTTATGTGAAGAAGACTCCAAAGAGGGCTGCCCCATGATGTGGACTTCCCCCTACATCCAGGAAGTGTGTGGTAACAGCAGATCTAGAATCAAACACAGGTCAGCCCATAATGCCCCAGGCTTCCTCAAAATGTACAAGAAAATGCATCGCATCAACCGCAAGGATTTGATGAATTCAGAGGTAATTTGCTCTGTGAAGTCCAGGATACTGCAGTATGAAAAGGAACAGCAGCACAGGGGTCTGCTCCACGGATGGAGCCAGTCTTCCACCGAGGAGGTGCCCAGGGACATGGTGCCCACCCGCATTTCAGAATTTGAAAAGCTGATACAGAAGTCCAAGTCCATGCCCAATCTAGGGGATGAGATGTTGTCTCCTGTAACCCTAGAACCCCAACAAAATGGTCTGTGTCCTAAGAGGCGGTTTTCTATTGAGTCTCTGCTAGAGGAAGAAACTCAGGGTAGACAACCTTCTCAGGGTCAGCGAAGCTGCAAATCTAAAACCCTGGTGCCCATCCACATCGAAGTCACAAGCGATGAGCATCCCAGAACACACATAGAGTTTTCCGACAGTGACCAAGATGGAGTTGTGTCTGACCACAGTGACTATGTTCATGTAGAAGGGTCATCCTTTTGCAGTGAAAGTGATTTTGATCATTTTTCATTCACATCCTCTGAAAGCTTCTATGGCTCCAGCCACCACCACCACCACCATCATCGGCACCTCATCAGTTCCTGCAAAGGCCGATGCCCAGCCTCTTACACTCGATTTACCACCATGTTAAAACATGAAAGAGCTAAACATGAAAACATTGACCAACCCAGAAGGCAAGAAATGGACCCCAGCCTATCTAAACTTGCATTTCTAGTCAGCCCCGTGCCTTTCCGGAGGAAAAAGAATGTGACTCCCAAAAAACAGACTGAACAGGCCAAATGCAAAGCCTCTGTAGTTGAGGCTCTGGACTCTGCCCTCAAAGACATCTGTGACCAAATAAAGGCTGAAAAAAGGAGGGGAAGCCTACCAGACAACAGTATATTGCATAGGCTTATCAGTGAACTGTTGCCAGAGATCCCTGAAAGGAATTCATCCCTTAATGCTCTGAGAAGGAGCCCCATGCACCAGCCTTTCCACCCACTGCCTCAAGATGGTGCTATTCATTGTCCACTCTACCAAAATGATTGTGGGAGGATGCCTCACAGTGCCTCCTTCCCAGATGTGGACACAGCCAACAGCAGCTACCATGCACAGGACTATGGTAGTGCACTGAGTCTCCAAGGTGGATGAACTTTCCTTTCTTTTTCCCTGTGGTTCAGCCGCCATCTTCCCACTCATTCATTATTTTTTTTTCCATCCTACATCTCATCACTCTTGAGCCGTGAGACCACTTGACATCTTTATGTGTTACAAAGCAAACCTGTGTTGTGCAGACGTGTCTGACTCGGTCATTCTCATTTGCCTGTGTAGTATTTGACATTCATGTATTGATCGAAAGTAATCATCAATTTATAAGCATTTGCTCACTTCAAAATAAAAGAAAGCCCAATTTGTCACTTAATATTAAGGTTATAATGAGTAGGGCTTTGAGAAGGCAAATGATAGGTCCCCATGTCATTAGTGCCTATGTGTATTTGCACTGATGCTACACAGCATGCTTCACAGAAAGTAAATTAAAATGTTTTTAAAAGCTGGTTCTAGAAATTTTCAGATTAAGATGTGTCAGAATCCAACTTTCTAACAAAATAGCCATTTCCTCAGTTATCTAATATCCTGAAATAATCACCATTCAAATTCAAAACAATATATCAAGACAAAACTATAATTCAATATCTGCATCCCTAAAATAATCTATTGATTCATTATGAATCAAAGTCAGTAGTTTCACAGCCTTTCCTTGATTTCTATATTAATGCTAGAACATTGTACCTATTCACTCAAAGAAATCTATCCACACTCAACACACACACACAGGGAAGGGCTGAGAGAGAGAGAGAGAGAGAGAGAGAGAGAGAGAGAGAGAGAGAGAGAGTACTTTAGCTAGATGCATCATCTAATTGAAACCCCCAATAAGTCAATAGATTATTTTAAGTGCTGTTTTACAATTGAGGAATTGATGGATAAAGAAGATAAAATTTCTCAAGTTTACCCAGATTACAGTAATGGCAAAAGAATTCAAGACCATACTAAATAAAAATGTATACTATAAAATAAAATTTCTAAGATCACAGGAAACAAAACTGTTAATAACTACTGGATAATTTTACTTATTCACATATTAACATTTACCTTAACTTTGATAGAATAAGTAGGGCTAGAGAAACTGCTCAGTGTTTAGGAGCCCTTGTTCCTTCCTCTTCCAGATGATCCAGGTTCCAATTCCAGTGTGCACATGGCAACTCACAATAGTAAAAAGGATACAATGGGAAATGGAATAATAGCATAATAGTAAAATAATTTAATTGTTTTATAAATAGACTTATAAATTTTAAATTCAATAAATTATTTAGAATTTCTCATCACTTTCTATTTAGACTAAAAGAAGTTTCATCCAATTTTCTAAACTATCTTCTTCAATTTTCTGATCCCCTATATAAGCATAGTACATTATCAAAACATACATTTGAAATGCTGAAAAAAATATACTGTACAAAAATAAAATTTATCTTAACGATTTGTGCTATTTAACAGACTTAAATGTGTTAAAGTGAATAAATATTTTTTTAAGCTTAGACCTAGGTGCACAGATAAAATTCCATGATGCTACCAGAATATAGGCAAACTTTATTTACATTTCTACATACAAGTCACAACTATAAAAAATTTTAAGAAACCGAGAGGGATATTTGCAGTCATAATTTTCAAATGTAATTATATATGCTTTGCTTTAATGTGAACAAGATCTCAATATATCACAAGCAATTTGGCAACTTCATCTGAGGCTTTTCTGGTTATCGTTTCGTTTTCTGTAATAACTTACTTTCTGATTAGTTGAACATTCATGTACAAGGGAAAGCCATAAAGGATATAAAATCATAAGACCCACTAAGTATTTACAAACAGAAAGAAAACGGTACACACACACAGAGGGTGGGGGACTATGGCCACAGTCCTGTAATGCTCACACTCTATCTTTCATTTCATCAATACTTCTTAAATTGTATTTGACATAACATTTCTTTCTACAAATATGTAACTTTTAAATTCTTTATATATCATAATAATTTTATATTAAAACCAAAAAAGGAATAGAAAGATTAAGCATGATAAATTTGGAGTATGAAAATCCCTACAACTGCGAATCATCTACACCAAGGATTGCAGTATAATTAATTGGTAATATAATAATAATATTTTCTATATCATTATAATGTTTCTGTTGTATATTTCTTCATTTTCAATGTGTATGTGTGTCTTATATCATACTTTATGGTTAGTTACGAGTTTTACATCCATGTTCTCATTAGTGACATCTCTCCAAAATTTGGGGTAAAGTAATTGCTTCCAGGGAAAAGTGGCTAACCAATCTCCTTTCAATGAAATTAAATCTCACACTGCTTTGCCTTATCCTTTCCAACAGACCACGAGTCACCTAGAAGTCATTCATCTACTTTGACTGACTTGGGAAGAAGTGTATCACGGGAACGAAGAGGAACTCCAGAAAAAGAGGTACTTAGTTCAATAGTTTTAAAAAGACCTTCTGAGAAAGCACTCACCAGCCAAATGTGTACCTCAGACACAGAAAGAATTCAGACTGAAACCTAACAGCAACAAGAAGAGTCTAGAAGCAGTTCTGCTTATAGTCTGTGTCTAGGGCCTGAGTTCCAGTCACTCCCAATTTAGGATGCACTTTGGGCAATGAGGCTTTTCTGAGTCTTGGCCTGGTAGCCATAAACTAGTAGAGTTCTAATTAGCCTTCTTTGTGGAGGGAGGGACGTTTCTACACAGTACTTTGGCTGGAGAAAACTATCAAGTTCTTGTAGTGTTGGGAAGTTCTTATATACCACTGCTGGTCCATCATCCTAAGCCAGGGCTGGACTACCTATTCCTAACTTCATTGAAAGCCATGAGGGCTTGGAGAAAATTAAAAACTGAACTCTGACTGACAGGTATCCGAGATACCCTGTGGGACCCCTACAAAGTCATAAATTGTCTATTTCTTGAGGCTCATGAGAATCACAGGGGGGAGGAGGGGAGAAAGGATTAATGGTTGGTGGGAAGGAAGAGCTGATATCATTAGCTACATGGTATGTTGTTTCTCAAGTAGATTTGTGGGCCCCAGAGTTTGAGGGTAGGCATGGGCACCACTTCATAATGAAAAGATAAGCCAAAGGATTCTTGAACCTTCCATTCTTCTATTTTTGGCTACTTAACCTCTTAATAACTGGGCTCCTACTTCCTGGATAATCAGTATTAAGTTAAGAATTTAAATCCCTTTGTGTCTTTTGTTTCTTTTATTATGATTCAGACAGACTAGTGTCAACCCACAAAAGTTAGATCAGCTGGCCCTCCATAATTTTCTATTTGTAGTACTCAAAAATGACATACCTAGGACAGAATCCTTGGTGGACATTTTATCCTATCCTATCCTATCCTAGTATTAATCTGCTTTAGTTCCAGAAGTGGAGACCAATGAAGAAATCAGCTACTGTATCCCCATGTAGCTCACTAGTTTAAAGGTAGCACTAACTGATACATTTGTAACTTGCACATATCACTTACATTACAGTGTTTTATTTTTCTTATATGAAATCTAAAATATTTAAATTAGTGCTTGAATGCTTACCTTTCTTTTCAGAAATTGCCTGCAAAAGCTGTCTATGATTTCAAAGCTCAGACATCTAAGTAAGTGAAATAAAAAACTCACTACGTGTTTGAACTTCATTTTTTACTATTGTAGGGAGATATATATATGTGTGTGTGTGTGTGTGTGTGTGTGTGTGTGTGTGTGTGTGTGTGTGTTATGTGTGTATATCAGTGGGAAGACGCAACTCACGAGTCTATAATATAGTCTAGTCCTCTAGCTCCCTTGAAATTGCTAACTAGGATAGGATAACTTGTTTTCAAGTTCAGTTGTAAATCCCTGGGTCTTAAATCACATCAGTTACGTTAATGGAGCACAATGAAGTCTGAATAGGAAAATAATAAGGAATAAAGATTATTTTTTTTTCCTGTCAAGAAATTATCCCTACCTAGTGAGGAGAGATTGACCTCATTTATCTGTCCAGCTGTGAGGACAGTCCATGGATGGGAGCCTGCACACAGATGATTCTGTAGTGACTGCTCAGTCTCACAGCACTCAAAGCTTAGAGATTCTAAGGAAAGCCTGCTCCTGTCCTGTGTACTGAGTGTTGATGTTTTCTTAGACCTGGGTTTCATCCTTTTAGCCCTTTTCTTTGGGAACTTCTTCATTCAAAAGATGAGACAAGTCAATTGGGAAGACTAGTGCTGAGCTCATAATACATGTACATTGGAGGGGGATGTCCCCTTCAAAAGCATGACCCCACCACCAATCACCAGAAAGCCTCTCATATGGCTTCACCTCAAAGTATTTATCACAACTTCACAGTCGTGCTTAGCTTGGGATAAAGCCTGTATCAAAGGGCCTTTGTGAAGCATTCAAGACACGAACTAGAACACAACAGCATTTTGTTTCTTCTATACTCCAGTCCTAATTACTCTTCTTGGGTCATGATGTGGCATTTGGTAAGACGTTATGAGAAAATTATATCAAAGATATTCATTGTATTTATTCTTTGTGACAGGCCAACAAAATTTTTCCTAAATATGTACCACCAGAAGGACATCTGTCTAAGGCTCAAAGGGTGTTTCATGAAGTACATGAGGTTGAGAGGGAAAGTGGAGGGTGTGAGATATGCTAGAATGGAAGGAGCAGGGGTTGATTTGATAGCCATTATATTTGTATACATTGTATACATGCATACAATTCTCAAAAAATGTTTTTAAAAATAAAATAAAAGTGAAAAAATACACAAGAGATCTCTACATGTGGTATTATGTATGTGCACATATACTGGCACACACAAATAAATGTAAAATAAATGATAAAGTGGGCTTCAAAGAGAAGACGACATGCATCACAGGAAGACAATTGAATCACTGGCTTTAGTTTGCCCCTCATCCATGGACCCCAGCCTCTTCTGGGGTTCCCCGATGGAGAGTCAGGGAATCTTGCTTTCCCATGTTGCTGTGGGGTGAAAGAACATGGCACCTTTCTGTCTGTGCCATCCCACCTTTCACTGAGAACATGAGCAGGTCTATCTAATGAACTCTAACTGTGTGAGCTTTTGGTGAAGTAGATTCACCAACCACCCACAGCGGCCCAAAAAGAAAGTGGGTCTGCTCATCCTATAAATAGTTTGGTCTTATTATAGCTTAATGGTCCTCCTCCTGTTCTTTCCCCAGAAGATATAAAGAGAACACCCGTCACCTCCAGTGTGGTTCTATATTTGACCTAAAAATTAGAGTGATGGGCAACTTGTACAACTTTCAAGACTCACACACCCAAATACCTATGAAAACTGCAGACCAAGACAGTTTTAGTCCCTTTAAAATGGCCAAAAAAGAGATATGACTGTTTTGATATGAAATATGAACAACACACACACTAATATATCTATGTTGTAAATGAGTATGCATCTAGAGCTATTTTTATTATTTAATACATCAAAACTAATAAGTCTAAAACTAAAGCTAACTAATTCACATAAAAAAAAGTCTCAATTTTAGATGGGAAGAGATGACATCTCATTTCCCATGGGTCCACAGTTGCCATTATTTTAAAGTGCAATAAAAATACAGCAAATTTATCAAAATGGGACTCTAGATCTGACATGAGAGGGACAGAGCTTTGAAAACTGAATAATGCAACTTTCCCTTTACTGGATATATCCAGAACTCTAAATGCATATTAAGTAGAAAAGATCTACATTCATATTTTAAAAAATCAGTTGCCTATAATTTCCATACATATTCAAAAATATTAAGTTGATGTTTAGAAATGTTCCTGCTATTAGGTTATAGACATTATATATGACTATAAACTATCAAGATCACAATAATCTATACTCTCGCAAATATGTCATCGCAGGATGCAGCTTATACAGGGTGGATCCATATACTTGCTCTTCAAAATCATTCCCAAGATTACATAAGTGACTTCCAGAAATTTGTAAGAAAAGTCCTTACCTAACTGAACTTGGCAAATGTTTTCATGTGGGAGGTGTACTTCTGGAATGTCAATCATAGGATTAATTATTGTTCATCCAGAAAGAGTCCATTGGTCATGTCTCTTACAGGGAGCTATCATTTAAGAAAGGAGATACTGTCTACATCCTCAGGAAAATCGACCAGAACTGGTATGAGGGGGGAGCACTACGGCAGAGTAGGCATCTTTCCAATCTCGTATGTGGAGGTACGTCCTTTTTCCTTATCTCCAGAAGGATGCTGTTCCACAGGTTATCACAAGTTAAGAACCAATAACTGTTCTCCATTATAGAAACTAACACCTCCAGAGAAAGCGCAGCCTGCCAGACCACCACCCCCAGTCCAGCCTGGAGAGATTGGCGAAGCCATAGCCAAATACAACTTCAATGCAGACACAAATGTGGAACTCTCCCTGCGAAAGGTAACCTGGCTATGTTCTTCACCAGGGTGTTTTTACAGAGTGTACAATTCTGAACTCAATATAGACTAGCTTATTTTCTAGAACGTTCTCTTTAACACCAGCTTGCTAACTTTGTTCTGGACCTCTTGTAGTTTTGAGTAAAAAGTTAAATAAAGTTATCTGGCATTGACCTGCCCACTGCAAGAAACGTAACAGTGATTAGAAATGTCTACTATCACAAAGGCCCATGTTTTATTCAAATGGCCAGAATGGCATAGCCATTCACCAAGTAGAATGGATGCTGGTGTCCTGATAAGAGCAGGGGGATGTTAGCCCATGCCACAGCTGTGGAAATTCTAGATTACCATCTTTGCCTCATGCTTTATTTGCTCTTTGACACTTCTCAGGACATGCAAATTAAAGAAGGAAAATGGTGTACCATTCTGCTTCATGCATTCCAGGGGATGGCTTTTGTGACCCATTTCAAATACATCTTCTGATAAATGAGTCTACTGTCATTGATCTGGCATCTCTACACCATCTGCCCTTTGAAATAACTTCCGCCAGTTTGAAATAACGGGTACTTTGTACCAGTATGAAACATGTATAAAAGCCCATTCCCATTAACCAAGCATCCTTAGGACTCTAATGTTATGAATGGAAGGCTTATCATGCATCCATGCTACAATCTATGCTTTTCTAATAAACACTAAAACCTTACTTGCATTCTTCTGATCAAGGCAAAACAGGAGGTATAAAACTTTCCCAAATAATGAACTACTGTTTATAAGAAAATAATGACAACTGTACTTTTTATTTCCTGTGTCTCTACTTATAACACATTTCCCAATGCTCATTACAGGGCGACAGGATTATTCTTCTTAAAAGAGTTGATCAAAACTGGTATGAAGGTAAAATCCCCGGAAGCAACAGGCAAGGCATCTTCCCTGTCTCCTATGTAGAAGTCATCAAGAAGAACACAAAAGGTGCTGATGATTACCCTGACCCTCCTATACCCCACAGCTACTCTAGTGATAGAATTCACAGCCTAAGTTCCAATAAGGTAAGCAGCTGTTCTATCATGTTAACTCTGAACTTGGAATCTCAGGATTATAATGAGTGGGTGATTTGGGGGACCATCACACCATGGTATCATTGAAAAGAAACAAATTCATATATTATATTCATATATGTGAATTCCAGACCAGAAAATCTAAGTTAATTTTCCTCAAATACATGCTAGGAGTGCTCATTTTTGCTAATTCATTTCTCAAGTTTAGGTGCATAAAGAGAAAAATGTTAGCATCACCAGCACTTCTTGATATATGTCTGTATTTTGGTGTAAATATATTATACATGCACACATAGATACATTTACCCCCTAAATTGTGCATCACTATGTAATTGGTAGGTGTACAATAGTCTATGAAAGTCTTAAGGCATTTTCTACATAGCACAAGACATTCTTAACTTTGGGCTTATAACTTTGCATGAAAATATGATAGATTATTAGAAATAGTAAATTTTCTTCATTAGTTTTAGAGCTGTAAATTCCACTAACTTAATTAAGCTGGTAGCTGCAGATGGTTTTTTTTCTCGATACAATTTAGAAAAGAATTTTCCCTCCTGAATTGCTTTATTAAAGTTATCCTAGTTATCCTCCTACTTCCCTCATTCACAAAATGTTTTTTCCTCACTCTTCTATTGAATTATAAGATATTTTAAGGGTGTAAATAGGGATTTCTTTTTCTTTTACAGTTAGTTATTGTCAAATGCCTCCCAATATGAAAAATGATGTATTGGGCTGTGTAAAGTAGTAACTTAGTTGAGACCAAGGCAAGATTGTGCAAAAAGAGACTATTAAACACTGTGAATGGGTGAAGCCAAGATCATTTTCAGTAATGAGTCCAGGGACCTAAACCACTCTGTAGTAAATGACCTGGGAATAGTAAATAACATATGAATCTATCTCAGTTGAGCTGTTTTCCTCCTTTAAAAAGTCAGTATTTGGCATTATTCGTTCTAATCTTTTTGTAAAAAAAAATGGGTTTAGTCAAGGTAATTACCCTAAAGTTTCTATCACTGGATAACTGAGTGGTTTGCACAAGTTTGATTATGAAAGTTCTAGAATTTAACAGTTAGATTAGAGATCAACATCCTTCCTTCAGTAGTTTCTATTCTTAAGTGGGGGGGGGAGGAATCTTTATCCATCCACATATGGTCTTACCCACCATCCATTTATCATAAAAGAACTGTCAGATGACTCTTTAGTGACAGAACCTTTAAATAAACCAATGCAGAAGAGAACAGCATGTACCTACAAATGCTTTCTTAGCATTGAAGAACTTCTCCCATATGCTATAATTAACAATGGCAAGCTTATAGTTTAAGTCAGTGTTTTCAGTCTTTGCTCTGAATATGTTTTAAATGCCATTCATGTTTTTTGTTATAATACCTCATTTTGAATCAAGGAATGTACAAATATCAGATTTTAATAGAGGAATGTATTAGTTAACTAGGAACCAATTATCTTCTTCTGTTTCAAAAAAAGTATGTCAAAGTTTATATCCATAATTTGAAAGAATTTCCAGTTTTGTCTCCACTGGTTATCTATCCTATGATGTTATTGCCTTAATGAAGGAAATTCCTGTAATGTTTCCTTGGTCAAGAAAAAGAAATACATCTTTTTAAATAGTGAGATACAAAAGCAGCAACAAAGTACAGCTCCTACTTTCTAACTGATATTTGCAAAATAGAGAAAGGAATGCTAATGAGTTTTGAATCACTCCAGCAAGTTCAAATTATATAGCTTGACATATTTCTATTTTGAGAAAGGCTCAAATATAAGTTGCTTATTATTTCTAATTTTGGTACAATAGAATCCAATTCCAATCCTTTTTTATTCATCTTATTTTTTTCTTCATGTTACATACCAACCACAGGTCTACCTCCCTCCCCTTCTCCCCTCCCCCAACCTCCCCCTTTCTTAAAATGAAATAACCGGTTAAGAGTAATGGCTGCACTTCCAAAGGAACTCAGTTCAATTCCCAGAACCCACTTGGCAGCTCTCAACTGTCTGTAACTCCAGTTCTAGGGGATCTAACACCCTTACACAGACATACATGCAGGCAAAACACCAATGCACATAAAATAAAAAAGAAATAAATTATATTTTAGAAAGATGAATTAACTTTAATTTTGTGTTATAAGTATGTTTTGTGATATAGGGACTCCTTAATCAAAATTAACACTTAATTTGACTTTTGGTATTATCAAGTCCATTTTAAAATGTTTGCTTTTTTGGCCTTTTAACATGTATAGAGATAACACAAGGGCAGTGACAGTAAAGTCAGTAAGAACATATTACAATAGAGACTACAATTGCAACGATGATGTCAAAACCTAGAGATATCTTGTGCACATAATATTTCTGTCCACATTAGGGGAAAAAAAGTAAAGTTATTCACCTTGAGTTACTATCAATTTAACTCATTTCCAAAATCTAAATACTGAGATCAAATCTTGCAACAAGTGTAAAATTGAATTTTAGCTAGTGAGAGAGCTTCCATAGACTATCAAATGAGAGTTAATCTGTAGGACCAGTACAGTACAGTATGACTTCACATCGGTGGCAGCACTCTAGAAAGCACTAAAGTAAAGGTCATCCACGGCATCTTTCATGACCTTGGAACAGCATGTAGCATTGCTTTTCCTGTCCAACAAGGGTAGAACAAGATAAATTACAAAATAGTCCACAGCCCATCTGAAAGTATTCCTTTTGAATTTGCAGTTGTTGTTTTATTTAAAATATTCAAATTATATAAAAAATATTCAAATATAAGAAATGATATTTTGGCCTCAGAACATCCAGCCTCATAAATTATATTCTTTGGGCTTACATAAAATATCAAGCTTAGAATATGAGTTTGCATCAGGATCTCATGTCCCCTTCTGTGTAAACATTTACTTGGGAGGACTTTTTAACTTTGAAGCAGTTGTTTCTGCAAGATTGGCTTATACTGATCACAGGGATCTATGATTAACAAATATGTTTTTAGCATTTATACTAATCTCAAATACTTTATGCCATGTACATGGGACAATTGTAAATACTCAAAGGAATGGGCACCTCTGCAGAGTGGGAGAACAGTAAATAAATTCAGAGATTAAAGCAAAGCTTAGTTATTTAATATTTTTCTGTGCTAACAATGCCCAGATACATCTGAAATATGGATAAGAGCCCATGCAGTCTCAGAGGCAGATTAACATTAGGCCTCCCGGGGTTCCATTTGTCTGTCTCCTTGACCTCTATGAATTGCTATCTCCTCCTTTGATGCTTAAGATACCTTCTAAAACTAATAATAGGTTGCTCAAGAAAGGTTTACAATTAGTCTGGATGATTTTATGCATTTAAATTTCAAATAACTTCCTCCAGTCTAGACATCTCCCAAGCATCTTCCATCAACATCTGTGCTACAGCTGAAAATCATATTCACCACCACGCCTTTCCTTTGTTTCTCTCTGTCATATTTTCACATGTGGTTGTTTTCTTTGTTTCACTTCATAACTCCTGCTCATTTATAAGCTGGCTTCCAGTGATCAGACCTGTCCACCCACATACACTTCTCTGCCTGGCACAGAAAAGGAGCCCTCCGGGGGGACTGCCCAAGTGCCACTGTCACTCACAGACTGGTGTCCAGCAGCAAACCCATTGGCCCCAACACCATCCTCTTTCCTCGACAACTTCTTGGTTGAATTAGAGAAGTTTAGTACTTTAACCTTGCCATCTGACAAGGCCAAAGTGAACATCCTAAACCAGGCCATCCTTGAAATTAAGGAGGAACCCTCTCATCTCCCCCTCTCACTGCCTCCAGCATCTGTACCAGTTGAATCACCCCGCTGTCTATCACCTTCTCCTCACTCAAGTACCGCCTCAGCTGGGGTGCAGACTGATGATACGGTGTCTCTTCAGGATCCCACAAAGGACACTCAAAGAAAACTTATAGATCTAAATAAAAAGAGATGGGTCTTTTCAAACCCTGCCAAAATCCTTGAAGTCCTAGGTGATAAATTTGTGGCCTCTGCATGCAGCCACGTGGGTGCCTTGCCTATAACTCTTCCTGCCATTGGAGAGGAAGATGAGGGAATCTGTGAGGGGCTTGAATACCAAAGATGGCTGCCAGGATCTCAAGAACAAGATATCACATGGTACGGCCACAACATTACAGAAGTAACACCACAACTGCACATCAAGGAGGAAGAAGATGAAGATGACCCTAACTGCTTAAAATATTCACTAGGCATTTGCCCACATCCTAGGACCCCCAAGGAAAACATCAATGCAACAAAAACCAGTAATGAGGTATTTAATTTTACCTAATTACTGGGGACTAACCAGTTTTAGAATTATCCAGAAGAGTTAATGATATTACTAAATATCTACTCCTGACAGTGCCTTAACAGGCTTCCTTATTCCAAATAGAAGCACTGGAAATTCCAGGGTGGGAGGTATATGTAAATACAACATACTTTATGTAAACACAACATACTTTATTGAAATGATGGGGGTTTATTTAGTGCAATTGCACTCTCCCATTATTCCAGTCACTATAAATTTAACTTTGATGTACTGAAGCTTATTGTCTTTCTAATATTCGTAATAATAGCTAATCATTAGCTCTTAGTGCCAGATGCTACTCTCAAAGCGCAACAGAGCTAGGAATTTTAATTTTCAAAACCCAGAGGGCTAGGAAATATGGTTATCCACACTTTAGAGGTAAAAAAACCTGATGGATAGACAGGTTTATCTAATTCCAAGATAACTTGATGGCAGACTGCAGAAAAACAGTGAGGTAAATAAAGTAAAATGTCAAACAACTGAAATAGTTCTCCAGTCCCCTTTTGACTCTTCTGAAGCAGTCGCTTTCTTGAGGTTGGTAGCTACTTATAATTCTGGGTCCTGCAACTTGGTCTTACAAAGGACCTTAAATTTATGACCTTCTCTCTTAAAAACAAATTAATCTCTCACATGTGAATTGTCTAAATTCAAGAGCAAGTAAAATT